ACCGGCTGGTGGTCCCACTGGATCTGCAGCACGACGAGCAGATCCTTGTGTACCAGGCGGCTATCTTGTCTGACCGGCCGGTCTTCGAAATTTGGCCGGACTATGGCGAGAACGAGCTGGGCCCGACGCCAGAGCGCCTTCCGCTGCTCACCGGAAAGATGTGGCCGTGGGGCTAGGGATTGTTTCAACTGCGGTCGCGCCAATCCGCCTGAGAGGACCACCTGCCGGCACCACGACTCCGATGAGATGGGAGGTGGCCCCTTGCCAGGGGATCTTCGAGGACAGTCTCTACTGGAGCACCCCGGTGGACCTTAGGACGGCGCCGGGGTGGTTTGTCGAACAGTGGCTGGAGGACAACAAGGAGCGTGTGAAGGAGTACCTTTACAGTAAATGCTCCGACGCCATTGCAGCCGCCATGAGCAATGCGTACTGGACGTGCGGCCGCACGTCGTGCCAGGAGCGTAACATGTTCCTCCTCCGACGAGTCCGAGGGCACGCGGATGGACCGAATAGAAAAGTCCCTAGCCGCGGACCCACTCGCAGAACACGCGCGCAAGTTTTTGCGGTCCGGCCGAAAAAGGATCCGAGCGGAGAAGCGACGCGAGCAAGAGTTGTCCAACGACTCTCAGCGAGCGTGGTGGAACCGCCCTGGACCGTGCACCCAGTGGGGGCCGCGCGTCTGCGAGCAAGGGCGGAGGGGGAGGCAAGCGAGGATGGTGGCCAGCTGGGCGCTCTCCATGAGAGCCCGCAACCGCGCGGCCCATGCTACCACCGGTAACATCGGGTGGAAGATGGGTCTGGCGGCCGCAGCGCTGGCGCCAACCCTCTTTACTGTGGAACGGGGCGCCCGGGAAGTGGCAAGTCAGCCTTACGGCAGTCGCAAACGCTGCCGAAGACCTCGTCGAGGAATGCTGGAATTCTCGTGCGAGGGGTGCGCGTCGTCGGCCTCTCTGCTGTGGTCCTGCTCTGGACCTTCGCGGCAGTGGTGTTGTGGTGGGCCGGACGTGTCGTCACGAATAGGCTGATGCACGCCATGAATCCCAGTTGCGAGTGCTGTTCTGGTGTCTCTGGAAGGCCGAGAAGCGGTCTTCGAGGTTGCCTCCAAGGCCAAGCCCGGTGCCCACAGGGTGTTGGCGCCGGTGCAGACGGTGGTGGTTGCGATTGCCGGGCGTTCCTGAACGAAGGACGCTGCGGGCACATCGAGCGTGCCATTGAGGCTTCGGGGCAACTCGTGGCCATGACTGGGACGAGCTCTGCCCCAGTTTCCACCTCTGCACATTCTGCACCCGCCGCGACCCGACGTGCGCGAGCCATCCTGGGCGCTTCGGAAGGTCAGCAGCCCTACCGATGGCTGCCTTGAAGGCCTTTCGAAGCTCGGCGGCCACCAAGGGGTGGCCACAGCGTCGGCACCTCCAACGGAGACCGTTGCCAAGGCGCCCGCGGTCGCGCCGGCAGTGGTGAGGCCGACCTCGATTCCCGCGAGCGCCAGAGAGCGTCGAATCGATGGCTTCCGCATCCCGAGCGGCTATGAGCGTTGCGGGGTTAAGTTCCTGACGCTCCCGGAGTACCACACTGAAGCAGTCAGCGTGGTAGACGGTGCGCGGGACGGCGACCACATTTATGTGAGGGCCTACAGCTTCGATAGCAGGCCCGTAGTCGCCGCCCTCGTGTCCGCGTTGGAGCGAGGTGCGAGAGCCAGGGTGCTTGCGGACGACTCGCAGACCTCCAAGACGAAGCTGCAGCTTCAGTCTTTGAAGGAGGTCGATTCGCATCGGGAAAGGAACCTCAGTGCACGCTGCATACGCAGCTGAGGGGCGCGACGAAGTGAAGGTAGGGGGTGGCCTGGCAGGCATCCACCATGCTAAGACGATCCTGGAATCCTGGTGTCGCACCGAGACGGCACCGTGAACGGGGTCCTCGGCAGCCTGAACTTCAGCGCCAGTTCTAGAGCGAACGCAGAGGCCGGGCTCGGCTTTGCCACCAAAGTGACATCCGATCCAGAAACCGCCCACGCCCGAAGGCCCGGCCAAAGGCCCAGCAAGGGGCCCTGACTAACGATCCCGAGCCGCAGTGACCGTGGACCTGAGGTCGCGGGACACGCGACGACTGGTCTCTGCGGCAACTCTGCAGTTTTGGTACGGCAACCAGCGGAGGCCGTATGGGGTATACAGGGTGGCGTATCCGCTCTAAAGGCTGCTCCTGAAGCGCGTGGAAACGCTTCGTGCCTCTGCCTTTGTTTCACCAGTCCTGTGGCCGCAGTGCGGCGCAGACTGTGTACAGTATCATGCTTTGAGCCTCGTGCCGAATGTGCCGAGAAAAGTCCTGAGTGCGCGGAGCGTGTAGAGTAGGTTTAGGAGGGTAGGGTCTGTAGGTCTGTTTCTACGGCCGCCCGCTTACCCTAACGGCTCTATCGCGCTCTCGGCTGAGGGGCGAGTGTAACTGTACATAGTCTGCGGGCTGGCTGTGAAGCTGTGTGCTTTTATGCATGCTTCTTTAATTCGTGTTCCATAACATTTTTGGCTCAAGTGAGCACGGCAGTTAGTCGTAGGTTGCTTTGTGTAGCCTGCGGCGCAAGTTGTGCGCAGCACGCCTAGGGCAGACGTTCGGGCTGACACGCCCGTTGGACGCGCTTTAGGCAGCGGAAAAGAATGTCAGCTGCGCCTGCCTTTGCTGTCTTTTACATACTACTACTACTACTACTACTACTACTACTACTACTACTACTACTACTACTACTACCACTACTACTACTACTACTACTACTACTACTACTACTACTACTACTACTACTACTACTACTACTACTACTACTACCTACTCCTACTACTACTACTGCTACTACTACTACTACTACTGCTACTGCTACTACTACTACTACTGCTACTGCTAGTACTACTACTACTACTACTACTACTACTACTACTACTACTACTACTACTACTACTACTACTACTACTACTACTACTACTACTTTTCAATTGGAGGCTGTGCGAGCGGGCTCAGCACATTGCGGGCGTTACTACTACTACTACTACTACTACTACTACTACTACTACTACTACTACTACTACTACTACTACTACTACTACTACTACTACTAGTTACTAATATTGGTCGAAGTACTAGTAGCTGGTACTGCTCGGCAAAAAAGCGGTTGTGACCTTTTGGGATCACCTGTGAAAATGCAGACACTCCGAACCAAGATTTTGCAATGCCACACATGCATATGAAGGCATATTCAAATATAGTCGATAATATAGTTATGACGTTCCCGAAGAAACGGAATCAAAGCCCGCACTACCGTGTCACGGCTATAGTCACACAAGAACATTGTGCTCGCAAAGTCGGTTTGCTAACTGCGCATCAGCCAATCATCCGATCAGGGTTTGGGGTTTAGGGTCTTAGGGCTTTGAGGGCTAAGGATTTTGGGAGTTTAGGGTTTAGGGTCCGGCTGGTCCGCTTATCGGCGTAGCAAAGTCGGGGCCCAACAGCCACGCACACGGTACAAGAAGACTAAACAACACCGGCCGCTCGCTGAAGCCCAGACGAAGTCAGATCTGCGAAGGAGGGCGTGCAACAGTTCGAAAGTTCCGAATTTCCAGAGCTTTTTCGGCGGACTGCTTCAAGCCTTCGCTTCCGCTGCCTCAGTCCTCCATCTCTTGGTCTTCGTCCTCCATGGCGAGCTGCTGCCTTACGAATCTCCAGATCCGCATCGGAGAGATCCCCTCCAGGCCCCCAGGCCCGTGTGACAGGGGCCCCCGGCCCGCGCTTCTCGTAGATGTTGTAGTTCATTACCTTTCAAAGGGGAAAAGGAGGGACCCTTAATGGGGACCCCTACCCTATAATGGGCTATATGATGGGTATATTATAGCTATATTAAGGGTATATAACCTAGGGAACCTTGCTCCCAGCCGATGCAACGAAGCTGAGAGTTACTACAAGTGCCACTTCCGTGCCTTCTCGATGAGGTCTACGTGCGTCAACATCATTCGACGACAGCAATACCTTCAAAAACAAACGCAGATGTCGTTGCTTCCAGCTTGACGCCACAAGAGCTATATGATATCATTAACTACCATATAATACTGTATGTTGTAAAATATGTGTGTATATATGTAATATATACTGTATAATATACTAACAAGACCGTGGAAGAAGGCTGCTTGCCTGTTGAAGCCAAGCTCATCCAAGACCTGTCGTGTGCGGAACTCGCGAACGAAACCATCTCAACATCCCGAAACGGCCTCTTTCTCCGGGGCTGGCTTTGGCCGCGATCTGTTCTCGGGGTCATCCCTGTCTTGCTTCTCTTGCTCTTCTGACTTCCGCTGTAGAAGTTGCAGATACTTCTCCCACCTGCTCGCCACGATGCAGTTGCTGTAAGCTGTACCATATTGAACGAATGAGGAGACAGATGCAATTCAAAGACCTGAGGCATTGACTTGTTGCCGATGAGCTTGCCACAAGAGTAGCACCCTGCAGATGGGCTTGTTAAGATTACTACAAATGCAACAGATGGCTCGCAAGCACCGAGGGAACGACGAATCGGAATAATCATGTCTGCCCACCGTGCTGCCTAACACAGCTGTACAGGGCTGCGCGCCCTAATTACAGCATGACGACGCTGAGCCAAAACGCGCAGCGATGACACCGCCGCTGCTAACTCTCCCTTGCCCTCAACAAAGGACTTCGCTGCTGTTGATGGGCGTGCGTACAAGTAGACCCGTCTAGAGTCTAGATGGTCCTTAGCAAATCTTAGCAAAACGAGGCTTTGCGGCTAATGCTAACAACCCCAAGTCCTGCACCACAATAACGTTCACCGGTCAGGCAGCATGCAGCCACATCTGTGGAATTCATTTGATTCGGGGATGTGGCGAGACGGCAGTCGCAGCAAGGACTAATCTTGGCAGCCTTGGTGCCTGCAGTGCGAACCCATGTTTCTGCACGGGCCGACCTGACTTCCACTGAGGTATGCAACTTTGGCAACCTCTGACCGTGGCATGTCATGCCTGGCACCAAGCCCAGGAAGTTACTCACACTTGCTCACTAGTCCCGACCTGGCCTCCTTCGCAGCAGACTTGTCTTTCTTTTTGTCCTTCTTTTTCTTTTTCTTTTCCTTGCAGCACATGTAGCCGGCATCTGAGCCAGCATGGACCAAAATTCGAGGTTCTTGCTTTCTTGTCCTTCTTCTTCTCCTTTTTCTTCTTCTTCTTTTTCTTCTTGTCGCTGGATGAGGAACTGGACGAGGAGTCTTCCCCCGCAGCTTTCCTGCTTTGTTTCGCACATTGCTTTGCTGCTTGAATGAATGGCTGGCTGCTCATGGATGGATGCTCTGTAGACGACGCTGCGATCCTCTTGAAGTATTCCTGGAGGGCTTTTTTCACGGTTGCGGCATCATGTCCTGAACACAACTCGCATCAGAAAGGCCAAACAGAGCACCGCACCTGCAACTCGTGACTGACTGTGAAAGCTTGCAGGCCGCCGAACCAACGAAATCTGCATGCGGCTGTCCGCCAGCGGCATCTTCCAACCCTCTGCCACCCGCCTGAACGAGCAGTCCGAAGCCACGAACGGGTGCACTGCGAGCTTCGTGCACGGCAAACGACATGGATCCGAGTAAATCTTCTTTGATTGTGGTTATGCCCTGCGCATCAAACAATCTGCCGCACCTTTCCGGAGGACTCCGGTGCCTCCTCCCAGAGGTGTCGATCCAGCTCACTTTATCTAATCCAAACTGCATCACCGGGCAAGTCCTCGACCAAGTCGTACTGCTTGCCTCCTCCAGCCCAGCACCTCGGCTTCTTGCTCCGGTCTTCGATTTTCTGCATCTGAGGTCCGGGTCCGGGCTCTCTGGCCGAATGCCCACGTGCCTCGGAATGGCTCGCTGGATGCTGTCTCTGATTCGCAATCTCAGAAGGTCTGAAGTCGGAATCTGAGAACCCCGCACCACATCGCGAGCATGTTGTGGCCTTCGGAAGGGAGCAATTTTGTGCGTGACAAACTTGAGACAAAGCTAGCCTGGATCGCACCGATGCGGATGGGCTCCGGAGCAGATTTGCCCTGGCCCTTTCCCTTTCCAGCATCCGCCTCGCGAGACCGCGATGGACCAACGCAGGCGCTTCGTCGGCACTGCGAGGAGGCGCCTGGACGTTGTTAGGATCCTGGTCCTCACCATCCCTCTGGCCAACAAAGCGCATATCGAGGCCTGTGGGAAGCACTTGCGGCCATGTCTGCACATTGACGTGTCGTTCCGCAGACGCAAGCTTAAGGCCGCTGCTGAACTTTCCCTCTTCCTCCTTCACCTCCACAACCTACCGGTAAACAACGAATCGAGCTTGCAGCTGCTACGAGGCATGGCGCTGTCTGAGCCTTCACCCAAACTGCATCATCCTGTGCCAACACATCCTGATCTGTGGCACCGTGAGAGAATTCGAAGGGTGCACGACGAATTCGAGGCTCTCGCTGCCACTGCTTCGACTCGGCCAGAAGCCGAGAGCCGCGAGATGTGCAGCAGGCCATCCTGCAGCGCTGTGGCTTTGACCGGATGGGTCAGGGCCGGGGCGGGCATCGGAGGCGGGGGAGTGAGGGACATGCAAAGAGCATCTCTGCCCTTTCCAGCTCTTTTCGGAACGGATCAGAGGGCATTGTCTAGGATCAGATCAGCAACTTCTGTGACGAGCTGTGTATTCTAAACTCCGCTCCTCCAAGCCTCAAGGCCAAGGGCCGAAGACTTCAAAGGGGAAAGGGGTACTTTGCAGTTGGCAGTAAGAGGCTTGCTAAACTTCTGGGCACCGGCTTGAAAGTCTGGAACGACCGGTAATAGAGAATGCGCCACACTCTGGACACTTCAACTGCTCCAAAACATGCCGTGAACTGGTGTACAAGCGGAACAAAGATCAGCACTTTGTTGGGGTGCTGCCGCGTGTGGCTCATTCACCACATGCTCTTCTAATTAGCTTTCTCAGGCCACGATGTGCGGCGACTGAGAGTGGAAGACAACGGGCAGGGCCCGTGGCATGCATCTTGTCGGTACCTGCTGACTCTGTACCTGGCCCCCACATCTGGTCAAGGTCCATCCCGAACAGAACAGGCAGCCATGGCCCACGGCGATGTCCTACATGGCCGAGGCGTAACCATCGGCTGGGTCCAGCAGAAGCGCCAGCGACCTCTCGGCCACTTCAAGCCGCTTCTTCAACATTCTGTTCTCCTTCCGAAGTTGAAGGCTCTCTTCCTGTGATGCGTGTTGAAGAGTCATCAGCTCTTCAATCAAGGTGTCCTGCTTTGCAATTTGCTTCTTCAAAGCATCATTGACATTGTCTGCCTTCAGAAGTTGGAGCTTCAACTGGTCGTTTTCTTGCTGCAGCTGCTGACACTGCTTGTCCAGCTTCACGATCTTCTTTTGGAACTCATCGGCAGCACATTGGGACTTCCCGTGTTCAATAATGGCTTTCTGCAACCTTGCCTGCAAGTCCTTGTACTGTTCCGACGACTTCATCTGTTCAAACTCTAACAGATCGCTCAGCTTCTCATAGCTGGATGTTGCCTGAATGAACTGCCTGCTTATGAGCAGCTTTGCTTGCCGCTCGTTCTCCACTTCTTCCTCAAGGGTTCGCCGCATCTCTTCAGCGGAGGCATGGCTTAAAGCAAGCTTCTTCTGTGCCAGCTCGAGCTCATTCACCAACTTCCCTCGCTTGTTTTTGAGATTGGCAAGTCTGTTGGTGAAAGCCTTGAGCGCAGAGAGGCCACCCTCCACAGGACCAAGCTGAAAGGAGCCCCGATCATGACCTTGGTCTTACTGAAGCTCCTTCCCCCCCGGGGCGTTGGGTTTGCTGAGCTGCTGGCCTCCATCACCTCGTGCGGCTCCAGAGCGGCCTCGTGCATCTGCAACCCTTGTGCCACGACTCATCACAACTCTACAAGTAGCAGTCACTGGCTTCACAAGCTCACCGGTGAGGCCACAAAGGTTCCATGTCTCATAAAGGCCGCTCCTTGAGCAAGCATCATGGTCCGGGTGCTGTTCTTCTTGGCGATGTAAGCACAGGTCGCAGCCAATAGCCTGGGCTTCCATGAACAGCAGAATCTCCACACCGCAACACGATTGCACTTGTTACGTGCGATACTTGCATGACTCGCATGCGTGCTGCGGATCTGCCCGTGAGAAGCATGCACAGCTGTCTGCTTGCAAGCCACGATGTTTGGATGCCTGGCTGGACAGCTGCAAATCAAACTGAGCCGGCATCGACACTCGGCCGATCCTAAGAGGGAGAGATCTATCTGGCGCCTCGATGGACAGCTGTGGAGCCAGCGAAGGCTGTCCTCGATGTACCTTGGCACAAGCAGGATGACCCTCCGCGAAAACCTCGCTGTTGAAGCAATGTCTCATTGTCCAGTATGTCCAAGCTCCAAGCGACTGCTGCCGTTTCTGAGCGGGCTGGGACGCCAATAAGAAGCATTCAGGCATGCGTTGGTCGGGCACGGATTGAGAGCCATGGCTGTCAGCTCAGATTCTCAGATTCTCGTTTCCTATACGCTAAGCCGAAATTCGCTGCAAGCGCAGGATAGCCTCGACACGGAGAATGGCAAGGACTTTTGGTGCCTTGTACCGCGAGCCGTCTCCAAGCCGCACAAAGGCACCGTAGTCTTGCACCTGAACCCGAGCAATCCAGGTTCAGTAATGCAGCTTGGCTGTTTTCTCCAGGGCCGGGCACTCGAGCCACGGTGCCCTTGTGAATGGAATAAAGCTTCGGAATTTCTCGACCAGTCGTGCGCCTGGCATGCATGAAGGGGAGGTCGATCACAGACATATACAGACATGCACCCAAGAATCATAGGTGGGGTGTTTGTGTGCGTGTGTGACATTGTGTGACACTGCATGTCTGCATACTTTGTATGTATGATGCAGGCATGTGTGTACAATTCGAGTATACACGCGTACTTACCTATCTGACCTATCTATCTACCTACATACATACATGCACGCAAGCATACTTACATACCCACATACCCATCGACCTGCCCATCTACCTACCTGGCTACCCGACCTACCTGGATAGGCAGGCAAGTTAGGTAGGTATGTGTGTGTGAACGCGAGAGGGAGAGAGAGAGAGAGAGAGAGAGAGAGAGAGAGAGAGAGAGAGAGCGAGAGAGAGAGAGAGAGAGACAAAGAGAGACAGAGAGAGGTGCGTCTCTGTGTGTGTGTGTGTGCGCGTGCGGGTGTGTGTGTGTGCGGGTGTGTGTGTGTGCGGGTGTGTGTGTGTGTGTGTAAGCCTCGATTCTAAGCTAGAGGTCTTTGGTGCATCCAGTACTGCATCGTTCTTTTTGTCAGCAGGGGGGCAGTGAGCCTTCCATCATCCACTGCCCAACGAAGACGGTGATAGAAGTGCTGTGAAGCAATCTGGGACGCCAGATTGTGTACCTGCATTGAAATGGCACGGGGGCCAAGCCATAAACCCCTTTCCGAGCTGTGCTTGAGTGCATTAGAGTGACAGTTTCATGCCTGCAGGCGTTGACTAGGATTCAGGTTATTGTCGACTATAGCAACATATTATGACAAAACTGGAAGTGATTGGTTGTGTCCTGATGGACCCCAAACTCCGTGTGTGGCCTTGTCGCCAACGGCAACAACCGCTCCTGCGGACTGCCAGGGTACGTTTCTTGCGGCCCAAGATGGTAACAGAATTGGCCGTACTCCTTCGGGACAGGTCAATGGTGCAAAGGCATTTATAAAGAGTGGCCCTTTTCGTGTCAGGTGATGGGTCTAAGTGCTCCTAGTGAGCAACCGGAAAGACAGTGCCCCGATTGGTCAGGTGATGGGCTTGTGTGGCCCGACGGTCCTAGAGTGGCTCTAGTAGCCTGGAGTACACAAAGAAGCAACGGTAACCAAAGATGTCTGGCCGTGGTAGCATCTTGGCTTGATTTACATTGCTTTGAGTGTGGTGCAGAGAGAAGAAGTCGTGTGTACTGCCTTCAGGAACTAAGGGCCGCTTGTCTTCTCAGTCTGTCAGCCGAGCTATTGTCATCTCCTCTCGCTCTCTCTTCCCTCTTTCCTCTTTCTGGTCGTCTGTCAGCCGAGCTATCGTCTTCTTTTCTCGCTTTCTCTCCTTTTCTCCGACGACGACGATGATGATGACCATACTAGGGAACGACAACAAAGCGAGCCTCAGGACGATTGGACGCAGGACTCAGGACTTTCCCCTCACTGAGGGGTGTGTGTGTGTAAGCCTCGATTCTAAGCTAGAGGTCTTTGGTGCATCCAGTACTGCATCGTTCTTTTTGTCAGCAGGGGGGCAGTGAGCCTTCTATCATCCACTGCCCAACGAAGACGGTGATAGAAGTGCTGTGAAGCAATCTGGGACGCCAGATTGTGTACCTGCATTGAAATGGCACGGGGGCCAAGCCATAAACCCCTTTCCGAGCTGTGCTTGAGTGCATTAGAGTGACAGTTTCATGCCTGCAGGCGTTGACTAGGATTCAGGTTATTGTCGACTATAGCAACATATTATGACAAAACTGGAAGTGATTGGTTGTGTCCTGATGGACCCCAAACTCCGTGCGTGTGTGCGCATAAATATGTGTGTTATTTAAACACAGGGAGAGGTGGACTGTCCCCAGACACACTCTCTCTTGTTGCTAGTCTTCTTCTTCTTCTTCTGCTTCTTCTTCCTCTGCTCATCTTCTTCACGGTGTAGGGTGTCAGCGAGCCTGCCCTGATTCGTTCAGCGGCGGAGCGGCATTGCATTGGGTGTAGTTGTACCCGTTTTGGAGCCAATGCCATGGCAATCTAGTGTTTTGCCTCCAACCAACCGTATGTGCTTTCTTGCAAGAGACGTGGATAAATCGATTTGCGCAAGCAACCTCCGAACAGTTGCTGTTTCCTGCATAAGTCTAATTTCGTGCGCGCCCGGCTGGGTTTCTACGCTCGGCGCACCCCTGGCTGGCGTGTTGCTTGTTGGTCGCAGGTGCAGCGGTGCCAATTTATGGGGAACGTCTCATCAAGCGGTGCCGTTATACTGGGAGCATAACCCAGGGCCGAGGACAACCCTCATCCCGTCCTCCGGTCTTGACGGCCGGATCGATCTCCGCCCTTCGAGCCACCACCCTTCGGACCTGCAGACTTCTGAGTCTTTGGACCCTGGCCACCGAGCCAGTCGCCGCACTGTCGGACAAGGTTGGACCTCTGTCATCATCCCGACGGCGCCTCCGCTAGCCCACGCCCCAAGAAGCACGAGTCGTTACCAGAAAACGATAGACATTGAAATTTGAACACATGTGCATCACAGAAGCTCGTTGCGCCCATCCCCGGGCGAGGGGCTGCGGCCTGCAATTCACAAAACAGAGAAGGCTCTACACAAAGACAGCAGTACTCGTACAGTTAGTAGCTCTTGCACCTCTTACACCGAAGGCATCTTCATCATCGCTGAACCTTCGTGGGCGTCGGCTGCTTACGCAGCTCTGTTCCACGCGACGCTTGCAAAAGCCATCGTCAAGGTCCCGGCATGCGCTGCCAGTTTGTGTCGCACACAAGCTGACTCTACAGGGGAGCAGGGCAAGCCAGTGTAAACCCGCACTGGACTCTGTGATCTGGTCAAACTCCAGAAGACTTTGAAACTCGCTCCGTTCGGATAGCGGGAAGACAGTATGCGCTCCTCTCGGTACACTCGAAAGCCGAAACGTGCAGGACATGTCAAGGAAGAGGATTAGCGTGCCTTGCGGGGGCCCTGATGCACAAACTTCTGGAGGAAATGGGGTACCTACTACACCTTCCATGCTCATCTAAAGCTTGGAAGCATCAGTGCCAACAGCTGCTCGGTCGAGTGCACCATGGCAAGCTTCGTCATGGCTGGCACTGCAGCGGCAGTGCACAAGGCTACCGTGGGCACGTCATGCTGCAGGCGCACGGCCGTTTTCCCCATGTGTTTTCGATGTCCGATGCCTCAGCGCCGCCGGCGCCGCGCGGCACCAGGACCTGTCTTGGAGGATTGAAAGCTTCTGCGGGGTACAGTGGCTGCTCCAAGCAGGTGCGACAGGCCTGGTCTCGACTGCTGGAAGGCTTGAGCAAACATGCTCGGCCTCTGACACGTACGCTGCAGGGACACAGAAAATGAGAGTCTAAGTTTTCTGCAGCGGACCCACTCTGGGCGCTTGCAGCAGCCCCAAAAGCAGCGCCCGCAGGTGCAGCTCCAGCTCCCTCTGCAGAGGCAGATGAGCAATCAGTACACATCGCAGGACACATCGAAGGAAAAAGTGCCCTTGGGGCGCTAGGGGCCTGTCCGAAGATGCTGCCGGCGGAACCGAAGGTGCCGGCTCCGGTCCCAAAGATGCTACCACTCGACGCAGCGCTCGTGGCACCAGCCGCTCCACCACTCGAGGCAGAAAGCGAGAAGATCCCGCCACTGCTGCCACTGCTGGCCGTGAAGATGCTACTGCCAGAGGCCGCCAGTGCAGATGAAGAAGCACCAGCCGAGCCGGTGGAACCAGGAGCCGATGAAGTGAAAATTCCACCTCTGGCTCCGGACACGAGCATCGCTTGCTCACGGCTGGCGCAGCACTCAGGGGCAAGCCTCCGGACGCACCGGTAAGCGAGGCAGCCTGCAAGATGCTACGAAGTCGTCGGGCCACGCTATGTGCCCGTAGAAACACACGGGCTTCAACACGGGCTCATTGCGCTCTGCGCCTGAGCAGCAGGGGCTTTGGCGAGAGTGTCCCGACCTGAAAGCTCGTGCAAGTAGCTGCCATGCGTGTCGTGTGGCGTCGCAAATCCCCTCGCAAGGTCCGTGCCAACCTCAAATTGGAAAGCGGCGGGGCAAAACCCAACATGCGAAAAGACTGTTGAGTCGTGCTTTCGATCCATGAGCTCAGGTTGGAGTTGCAGCATGCTTTGCATGCTACCGCTCAGCATGGGTCCTAGGCTGCAGCACCAGGCTGCATTCATTGACGAAGCTAAAATGCCAGCTGCTCAAACCAAGCCCACTGGCGTCATTTTCAGATCAGGTTGCCATCAAAGCAATGGCAAGCCTCAGGGCGGGTGCCGAAACAGAGGTCTCTGTACTTGCCAACCTTCGCAGACATGCTGCAGCTCAGAAACTTCTAGAGTGGGAGACACCGGAGCGACTAGCTAGTGGAGTCGACGTCCGTCTGCTATCCTGGGAATGTCAGTAGCCCACCAGTTTCGTGTGCCGAGGCCCATCTCAGTCAGAGACCGATGGTGGAGCGCCACCATCATGCCTTATGTATATTGAGGACTCAAGATTCTGGTACGGTATAACATGCGTGATACCATCGTTGGCAGCCAAGCAACCGAGCCTGCGTTGGCGGCCAATCCGGCATGAGCCTGGTATGGCATGGCCCGATTTCCCCCTTCTGACTTGCATTTTCTGCACCCCGTTGCCCATCTCCTCCATGCCTGCAAGGCTGGATCTTCATGATCCGCTGGTCAGCTGTGTGGAGGCGAACGCGCAAGCGGCCAAACTCATCCTCTGAAACAGGCACTGAAGCAGTGTGAGTGAGCAGCACAAGCACAGAGCCACCCATTGCACGACTTCTGCTTACAACCTTCCTGCTGGTTGCTCAAGATCTCTGCACGAGCCTGAGTCACCAACAGTATTGCATTGGACTAAGAGCTGCAGCCAATGCGCAGAAAAGCCGTGAAAACTAAGCCACACACCCCATTCAGCTCGATGCGACGCCGCAGACCAGTGATGGTCACAGGCTCGCCAGGCACTGGGGTTCGGTAGAAGCTGCTCGTATCACCAGTTGGATAGACCTTTTATGATCACGTGTTCGCACGTATGTTAAAACACAGATTGCTCAGGGTGCGCCGGTCTCAACATATGACTTAGGCACCTGCCACACGCGGCTCCTTGTGACTGCAAACAAACCGCAAATCCAACTTTCGCGAGGCTTGGAAGCAAGGCGCAACACTGGACGTCAGTAAGACGTTGTGCAAGCCCGCAAACCCCCTGCCGACAACACGTGCTGCAGCTCAGGGGCCATGAAGTTCTTCACCCAGGACCTTTCGAAGGTCAAGGGTATGGTCGAGAGACTGTCACTGGTATTGATCGATGGCACATGCCTCCAAGATCTTCTCTTTACGTAAGGCTGTAAGGCTTGCACCGAAACTCTTTGTCACAGAGCCCACGGTCGATCTCTGCCTGCCTTTGCTGCACATGGCAGCGAGCATGTCGGCCGTGACTCTGCGAACTCTCGCAAGCCAATGGTCGCCGAGAGTCTTGAAAGGCTCCAACCTTCGTGACATAAGTGTGCGCGGTGAGCTTCGCTCCAGCTCCAGGCACCATAGCAACTCCTACCTGCATCTTTCTGAGCCAAAATCGACCCCGTCAAAGCAGCTTTGCTTTGTGACTCTGCCCTTGGTGCAGGGTGCAGCTACTGTGCAACAGAAGGATTCAAGGGCTTCAAAAAATTCGGAATACACGTTGAGGCGGAGATTGCCAAGTCGTTGCTGGCGGCACAGCAATCTCAAAGAGGCAAGCGAAGCAAGAGAGACACACTCCGGCCGGCACTACTGTTGGGCGAGGCAAAGACAAGATCAGGGCGTGCTTCAGGTCCGGACATACTTCGGGGGCAGGTCGCACTCGGAAGATCCTTCATCGCATTCGAGTTGCAGAAGCATTTTCTGCTCCGACAACCGCATGAATACTGCTGCTGGCACATAGATACAACTGTCAGGCTCCTGACCCAAGTATCTACTGCAACATACAATGATTTTTCAGCTCAGCTCCAGGCTGCTTTTTGTAGACATCCCATCCGTCTGGCAGCACTAGCTGCGATCGGATGCGGCGACGTTTGGCAGGCCGCCTCTCCAGATTATCAGCGGGTATCTTTTGATACAGGAATGCCTGCCTTCCCCCGTATTTAATATCTGCCTCAACTCGAATGCTCCGTCTGGATTGGTCTTCAATCGTGGAGCCTGAGGGCACTAGTCACTAGAGGCTTCTCCTCGCGCCGTGTTCGACTTGGATGCCGACGTTAACGAAGACGTCCGTCTCCTCTTCCTGCGACTGTCGGGCGGCTTGGCGTCTGCGCTTCCTGGCGAAGGAGACGACGCGCCAGATTTCCATAGCGACACGACCATCAAATCTGCAGGTCAAGATGGGTCAAGGACCTGCCTGCTCTTGAGCTCGTGGCCTGTCCCAGAGCATGACAGGATCAGGGCAAGACTGGAATGCAGCGATACGCAGCAATGCAGGAGCAACCCTCTGTGCCGGCCTTCGGTTTGGCCTTCCGTTGCCTCCACGACACGACTCCTGCAGTCCAACTCAAGCACAAAAAGGGGCTCCCCTGTCTGCACGTGACGAGGTCGTCAGCTGGTCCTGGTCATCTCTGAAGTTTGCACTTGGCAGCAAGTCTCACATAGGATCCAGATGAGTACGTGCCATAGGTGCAAACCCAATGATAAGTGATAAAGATATCGACGACGGGTAGCCGCCACCTGCATCTAGGTCACGATGCATTACTCTGTCTCACCTTAATCCTTAAGCACAGGCCTAAACCCTCTGAACCCTGAACTCTAAGCGGCTCGGCCGCAGGCTCGCTGTGTAGAAGCATGCATCGGGGAGTCCACACCGTCCAATGGCTGCTGATTTCAGTCGCCATGCTGAATGCTCATACCTATGACCTACAGATTCTTCCGAGATAAGTCTCATGTTGTCTTCCTGTGTCCTCTTCTATATAGCTGGGTTCCATGAGCAACCGCTTGGTCCTGGCTCGGCGATACTCCCTGCGTCCTGCCGTTGCACCGTGCATGGGCCTGGGTGGGCAAAGCCTCTTTCGAGCAGGTGGTTGCTTTCTCTTTTGAACCTGGCGTTTCACGTCAACACTGGTCTACAAAGCTGGCGGCATAGAGCGTTGAGCTTTGCGCAACCTCCAGCTTTCATGTGCGACTACTCTTCCGCTGCAGCGATCGGAGCATCTTCAAAAAGGTACGAAGAAAGCCATAAGGCTTCGAGAATGGTGTGCCTGGTGTCACCTGGCCTTCACGAAGCTGCGGAGCTTTCCATGCAAACGAAGCCACACTTTCGGATCATCAAAGCACATCACAACTTGGCGTCCGAGGACAATCGTTCAGCCCAGGGTGACAGTAGGCGTCGACCAAAACTTAACAGGCGGCTGTCAACCGCTGCCTTCATGAAACGACACGAAGGCTCAGAGTCTCTTCACGAGCGGCGCCTGAGTTGCAGACCAGGAAGTGTTGCCAGACGGTGATGGCTGTTCCGGAATGTCCCGGACACCGTAGTTTGTCACTCTTTTTGCGATGCATCGAGCCAAGAAGTTTGTAGTGAGACTGTCCGGTTTGGCAGTTTGGCTTCGAGCCAGACGCACATCGTCACAGATCAACTGTGGAAAAACGGCTGCCAGCAAGCTGCCTATCACCCGCATGGGGCTCACTGTCGCCCTTCTGGTTTCTGTCTCGACATGGAATGACATGGACAACTTCTCTACTTGCATTGCCCCAGTGATGAGATGTATTCTGGCCGAAACGGCGAAAGCTCATGACGAAACCAAGCATTCAGCGGCCACCTGATCAGTGGCACGAACAAACGCATCTATGTTCCCTGCATCCCACTGTGAATGGCCACCGTCTGTAAGTAACAACTCAGCACTAGGACCAACTGCCCTTGCAAGGTCCTCTGCATTGACTGCTGGACATATGCAATCGTTCTGGCCGTGGACAAGCTTCAACGGAAAAGCAAAGGCCGCAGCTGAGTCAAGCAACTCACTGCCTTCAGGAAAGAATCCTCGCTCGGCGACGTAATGCAGCGTAAGCAAGGCCTGTACATTGAACTTACCTGGCTTTGGCCACGGTTTTGCCGGTAGATTCGCTTCCGGCAAGTCTGACGACAACTTTGAAGGCTGCAGCTTCAAATTCTTGGCCCGCTGCGCAAAAAGATTGTTCTCCCAAGCTCGCCACTTTGAGAGGGCATCGGTCGGTGAGACGGACCTCAGATTGCTGGCACATGTTTGCACAGTTGGCATAGTCTAAGTCTAGCGCGGCCGCACTTGCTACAGTAGAGGTTGCCCACTGCGATACAAGGCGAACACAGACTCACTTCTTGCCTGACTCCCTCCTACCATGCCCCCATGTAGCTTCCGAGTCCTTGAAACTTGCTCTTCCATCAGCCCATGCATAGGTGGGAGGCAGGCTTTTGGAGATGGCAAGAAAAGCCGAGATGTCTCAATGCAAACCATCGAACATGATGCGCAAGCATCTCAAATCAACAAGCCTAAATCTTCGCACAAGAAAGGGCACATAGAATGTCAATGCTTCCGCATGTTGCACCATGTCTGAAGGAAGCCACGACACAACGCCGCGCCGATTCCAAATTCTGGACTAGTGACTGTATGTATGTGAGAATCTTGGAGATTTGCAGACACCGCACTTGGTTTACTTGATGAGCCCGTTTACCGATTTCGTAAATGACGCTTGACAATGACAACCGCTTCCAAGTTCAATCAAGATACGCATCCTCGCCCAGGGCAGCTCGACGAAAGGCGGCCGCAATGGCACGGGCAGAGCGCGTCTCTGCCCATGGAAGCCATCCCGCAAAACTGTCCCAAGCACCTCGTGCCAAAGATCTCGCACCGCCTTTCGGACCGCAGAAGTACTCAAGCTCCTCATTGCGGAAGAGGAAAACCTCAGATTTCCGAAACATATGCTACTTAGTACGCAGGAAGCTCATGCGTGATTGTGGCCTTCCCCGAACTCCATCGGCGAGGAGCAGCGCGCAGCACCATGCCAAGGACGCAGGCAGGATGTTTGGAGGCATACGCGAGGGCGAGGCAAGTTCCCCAAGAACCTCCACACACCACCCAGCGGTCGATCTTCAAATGAGCCCTTAGAACCTCGAGATCCTCGACTAGATGCCAAGTTGTGTTGCCCTCAAGCTGATCCTCTGCATTGGCCGAGTCCTTGCGTGAACTCTTGCCGCAACCTCGCTGGTCGAAGAGGATCACCCGATACTTCTCAGGGTCGAATAGCTGTGCCATGCGTCGAGAGCAGCCGGCACCAGGGCCCCCATGCAAAAACACAACTGGTATTCCATCGGGGCTGCCATGCTCCTCGTAGTACAGGTCGAAGCCGTCACCTACCGGGAGCGTTCCCGTGCTTAGTACCGGCCCGGCAGAGTGTAGTCCACGCCTGGCTCCTGTCCGCGAGGTCTTCCCACGGGATGTTTCAACCAGCGCGACGCGTCTCCGTGGCTTGGCTTGAGCCTCGGGCCGTCTTCCCGCTCTGGCCAATGAACCTTTTCTCACTGCCAGCGCAGTACATGCAGTCAGTGACGAGAGGGCGGGCAGGAACGGCCAGCGAACCCGGGGAACATCACGGCACCGGATGGGTTCAATCCATGGCACTCCCGGCGAGCCACTTCGGCTTGCGGCGGGTCGACTTACGGGGGCCACAGCGAACCCCTCCATCTCTTGAGCCACAGTACGACTTGCAGCGGTAACCTGAACACTGCTTGCCAACTTCCAACAAATCACCTCCTACAGTCGGGGCCCAGGCAGCTTACGAGAAAGTCTGACCAACTAGTTTCTCGCTGAGGCTCCACAGCCTGGCACCAGCAATCCCCCGGTGCCCTACATACTGCTCAACATTCATGTCATGTCTCCCGCACTCGCGGCTAACATCAAAGATGGAGAAGGTGAGAGCCTCCTACACCTCTCTTCGTCGGCAGCTTGTCCACCAATTTCGTTCTCCTTCAGAGTCCGGAAACTGCCGTACCTTCAGGCAAGCTTATTCAACACCTTCCCACAGTGCACTGTCAATATGCTTCGCGGTCACTGCAGGAACTTGTCGTTGCTAGCGCCCACATTCTCCACTGCATCGGTTCCTCCTGCTCCACCGGTTCCAGACCTGAAGCACATTGTGTCCATAGCTGGCCCGCAGCAACACTGCACATAACGAGAGGACAAGAAAGCACTAAATCGATTCAAACTCATCGCTTCTCAGCTTGAGATGTTGGCTCGCCACCCCAGCTGAAATACACACCTGCAGCGGCACGAAGATTGGCATCTCATAATCTGAGTCAGCTCTGATGGGAGCTGCGGAAAGATCAAGCGATGCCAGCTGTCCGCTATGACCTCACTAGACGCGAATCTTTTTGAACCGGGTCTGTGACCCGGGACTCCCCAAGATTCCCCAAGTTTCCGTCTTCCCTACGAGTAGAGCCCCTAATAAGGGCCCCCCATGGTCTCTCCGGGATGTGGCATATCTACGCAGTGCATCTGAATAAGAAACGGCTCATGCGCAAGGGACTTGGGCGTGGCGGAGCAGGCCTGACTGAGCGTAGGCAGGGTCGGCCACACACTTTGCCAACCTTCTTCCTGCTTCCCCTTCACTGACATACCTGGACACGGGACAGAAGCAAACTCCTCTGGGTGAACCTACTGACCTACTGCCACAGGGCACGCGTTGGTCACCTCCTTCTGCAGGATGGGAAACAAAAACCTCTCGGGGACACCAGGAACAACAGACGTACAGTTACTTCGATCAATGGGAAGATTGGTGGCCAACACTCGGCAAGAGTGCAAGAGTCAATGACTCTCTCTACAATAGGGACCTGAAAACCGGATAGTGCTCTCGGAAGAGATTGGTCTCAGCGATGCAACCTGCATCCAAGTCTGCAGCAAACTTCTGTCCCCAAACATGCGTTCATGGCTCAATTACAGGAGCGGCCTGCCTGGGTAGAGAGAGGCAAAGCACACACCTGTCTTTTCGTGGAACCTCTTGTGGAGCTCCCTCATCAGCATGACATCACAAACCTGCACGGTGCTGTCAAGTGCTCTGTTCTTCTCTACATTTGCTTCCAGCTGCCTTGCTGTCCTTGTACGCCTTGGCTCCGTTGAAACGTCCGCCGTCAATCATTGTGACCTGGGCTCCGAATCGAAGCTCTGAGCCTCTGCCTGCTCCTCGGCCGCAGCAACAAACAGGTCAGGTGCACCGGCTTCTTCATTCCAGACTCTAGGCCTCAACAGGACCCCACTCAGACAATTCTCCAAGTGTCGAAGTAGCTTCGGAAACGGCCGATCCAAATTATCATTGGTCGGCATGGCTTTCTTGTACATTCCAGAACTTGGCGTACAAACGAGGCCTCGGCCTTACCGCGCTAGACCCCGAACCCTTCCTAGCAAAACCGGCCATAAGATATGGCTGTTCTTGCTGGGATCCCCGGTTTTTGCAATACCGTGCCTTCAAGCCCACCGAGGTCCGCGACAGGTGGGATCATGCCACCGACCTGGAGACCGCACGGGCTGACTGAGATGACTGAGGTCCACGGGTTGCTTTGGAATCCGGCCTCCTTGTCATTAATGCTGGCAGTCACAGTCCCCAATATGATGCAACGCGCCGGCTTCATCGTGCTCTTTTGCAGGTCTGCAGGCACGACGAGCATGTAGTCATTGATTCAGCTGTCCAAGTACGGTCGCATGAGCACCCTGCCTTCAAGTAAGAGATTGCACAGGAGGAAGTGGCCTTGTGCGGCCATGTTCGTCGTCCCAATGTGGTTCAACAGTGTTCAAGCAAACCCCATGAGCTGTCTGCCCAAGTAGTTTGATGCAAAGCTCAATTCATGGCCGTCTGCCGACCATCTTGGACCACCCCCTGCATGGCGATGCAGTCTCGATCAATAGACTTCTAGATAGCCAGCGCGAGCCTGGGAAGAGTCCTGGAAGGAAGGCTCCCTGGCGACACGCAGTTTCCATGAGCTTCACAGGAAAGCGCTGCACATCGTTGCAAATCGTGCCAACCTTGCCTCTTTGTGAGCATTTGGGAAGTAGATTGCAGCGTTGCATACTAGCGCATCAAGCCTGAGAGATTGAAGCTGGCGTCAGGTCTCTGATGTTCGGTTCTCATGCACCCGAGAGCTTCGCGGGATATTTAAAGTCCGGAATGTGCGGACAAACTGGCGGACCTCCAACGGGTGCGACTGACTCGAGAAACTATGTCCAGAATCCCCCGGATGCAACTGTGCCAGGCTAGCGCTGTTGTTCGCCGCAAGGTCAAGGTGCTGTACAATGTAGCTGTCCTGACACTTGTTGCAACGAAGGCACAGCATCGTGACAGGTCAGAAGCACTCTTCAATCCTCCGGAAAGTCGTTCTCTTTGGCAACACGCTCTGCCTGTGGAAATGGTTAGTCAGTAGGTCCCGGCAAGCAGGCACGAGCATGCACAAGCAGTCATAAGCACGTCCCAAGCACTCGCAAGCTCCACCCGCCTTGACGTAGTCACGGCAAGCCATGATGACTCGCCTGTTGCGGTAGGTTGGCTGCCAGACGCAAGCAGCAGCTTTTCTTCGCCCGAGAAAGCGGCCACTCTCCGCTCATGACAAGCTCTTTCGCTGTGGCGAGTCCCAGCCCTGAGGTCACGTCACGACACACGTCTCTGAGCTTTAAAAGCCTTTGGTAACGCAGGCCTGAGGAAGCGCCGGTGATAATGACGGTCTTCTTGGAAGGCTGCGATGCGAACTCAGCAGGAAATTTGCGCATCTTGCAAGGTCAAGTTGTTGCGAAAGCAAGCATACATGAACTGAGCTGAGAGCATCAAAAAAAGCCCGTCTTCCAACAGTCGATCGCCGAAATGCAGGGACTCTCCTCGAGCACGACTTGCGTGAGGCCATGCTCCACGTTTCAGCACCGTTCACACGCAATGCAAACAGGCAGAGGCACAAGTCAGATCCGTCCGTCTCGGTGATACTCAACATGCAACCAGCCTATCCAGAAATTGGTACTGTCAATAAATGATCTACATCCCATGCCCCACTGATGCCTCCTGGGTTCAGTTCTGCCACAGTCCGAAGCCGTGCCATTTACAATGTGAACCCAGACCCCGTTCCTGCACCCATTGGAACAGCCAAGTGAGTGGGACGTCCATCATGCTGCACTTTGGCACGGGGGTCAAAACTCTGAACACTCTCGCGCGGGCACGATGCATCCAGAAACTACGGGCCCAAACTGCTCACGGACGTAGCCGTGAGAGCAATGCTCAACAGGCCAATATGATCTCGTTTAGCATATGGGTGAACAGAAAGGTCTTCGTGGTAAGGGCAAGATCAGTCCTCTGACGCCCTCCAGCAAATGCTGCCACGCCGGTAGCAAGGGCTGCGACGGTCTGTGCGTCGCTGTACATGTACAGCAGCACGGACAACATCCTACTATCAAAGCCTGGAGTGCTCAGGCCAAGGATTCATGCCTGGAGATTGCTCGACGAACTGCCGAAGCCGGCCAGCGGCTTCTGGCTTGCGCTGGCCTTGACAGCTTGCACGTGTTATTGCGGGCGTGAGTCGTCGAAGCAGTCGCTTTAGCCGTAGAAGCGGCAGCAGCACAAGCTGCGGGCAGGAGCGGCGTTACCATTAACGATTCCCGTTATCTGTTCTTGCTATTTTCTTGTTCTGCAATGAACATGCATTGTAGGTGGAAGCAATTGCGGTGGCGGCAGTGCTAGAGCTGTACCAGTATTAGTACTAGTGCCAACAGCACCACTAGTACTCGTACTAGTTCTAGAAGAATTGTTGGTAGTCGTCGTCGTAGCGATAGTAGCAGCTGCAGGAGCACTAGTGGTGGTAGTAGTAGTAGTAGTAGTAGTTGTTGTAGCAGCAGCAGCAGCAGCAGCAGTAGTAGTCATCGTCGTCGTAGAAGTAGCAGCAGCAGCAGCAGCAGCAGCAGCAGCGGGAGCACCAGTAGCAGTACTAGTGGTCGTCGCGGTGGCAGTGGCAGTCGCAGTGGCAGTGGTCGCGGTCGTGGCGGTGGGGCTGGCAGTGGTGCTCAAGCTTTGAAGCTGGCTAAATTCCTGCGAGATTCGCTCTGAAGTGCAGTCCGCGAACAAGCCCGTAATGTTAACTCTGGATGTTGCCGTTGCGAAAGCAACGGCAGACACACTCTCCCTGCGGCATGCTGTGGCCGCATGTCCTCAGACCTGAGCTTGTCTGTGTCCCCGACGCTGTGACCCGGGGCTTTTGTGGAGGCCACTAGGTCATGGCGAGCCACCTGTAGCGGAGGGCGTGCTTCATGGGTGCAAGACTGGCGGGCCTGGCAGAATGCTAAGGAAGGGACACTGGTGAAAGCTGTCTCGAGCGCCATGGTCCTGAGAATGGGGAGCGTGGTCACATGGCCTTGTTACAATGCTTGTGAAACTGGCAGAAGCTTTGCACCCCAGTCGTACCGACTGACGCAATGTCAGGGACGTGGCTCTGATCCTGCTAAACCTTGCTAAACCGTATAGCTATGGAGCAGAGTCATGTGTGTAGTTGTGGCACTGGCCTGCACGAGGCACAGCTACTTTGCTCATAGGGCGATCCGGGTCTCCGTTCGCAGATGTGTTCCTTTGCACTTGTAGATCTCTTTGGTCGTGCCCGGCCTTTGCCTCTGCAAGTTCGATGGGATGGAATGCTGCGGCTGCGCTCTCCAACGTCAAATTCGCTGTTGTAAATGCTCGCTGTTACCGGATGTTCGATAAAAGAACACACACGCACACACAGCAACTTTGACGGAGGATTGTAATAGTACTGTCGCAATTGTGGCGCTGATTTGTTACAGGATCTGTCGACCGTTTGCTACAGTCGAGCGATGGTGACATCCAAGAATGCAATGCAAACTGGGGCATGGATGCTGCTCGGGTTGAGTATCGCGGCGTCTACCTCTTGCAGCATACCTGCTTGATAGCCTATGGTGTTGTGTATGTGCTGTTGATTGCGGAACGCCAGCATGGCTCCACCGGCCACGGTTGCAATTCTGCAGTCTTGAACCCTGCTAGTTACATCCTGCAACGACTCTCAAGTGAAAATGACTGTCTCCCCACAAGATCTGCTACAAAGCTACAGAAGCACTGCGATGCTGCGCCTGGGAGTGCCAATTGGCTCAGATCCCCGACCCCTACGCTGAGCATTCGTGCCGTTCGCAGTCCAGACAGCATCTGGAGCAAAACAACGTTGGTTGTCCCATGCATGTCGCTCATATGGAAACAACTCAGTCATACTTGCTGACATGATGCTGGACAGATCACCCTACTTTTTGTTCATCTGGTCTCTAATGTGCTGCAACAGCTATGCAACGTCTGCACACAGGCAATAAATGCCAGGGCAGAACACTGACGTGTCACAAGCAGTCAAAATTGCGGTGTTGAATTTCTTGCAGCTTCCCCAGACTGCACTGTCCGCTGTAGCTGGCGAGGCAACATGCACTAAACCATGCACATGCTGCATGGTTGTCATCTAAATCATCTAACTGAATGAGCATCCAGCGCAGGCTAGAATCCAAGCATCGCGGACAATGTGTCCCGTGCCACGCCTCCTCACAATTAATGTAAAGTAATCTGCACGGAACCTGCACAGCCTCACCTTGATCTTGCCGCTCAGAAGCCAGAACAAAATGCAAAGCTACCGCGCGGCAGACAGGCCATCTGGTGATCCATGCGCTGGACATAGCACGTATGTCAGGCAGGCTGCGCCGAGACAGATCCAAACTCGGCTGCAAAAATGAAAGAATTGATCTGGTGCCGCACTGCTTCCGCTTCCCTCTAACCCATCATCTCGACAGCCGAAGCCAAAAGGAAGACCAAAGCAGCCTGCGTAAGCTGCTTCCAGCACGTCTCGAGCACGGCAGCGCTCGAGAATGCCGTAAAGTCTATGTACAGGTATGCCAGCTGCTCAAAGCTTAGGGTCCTAATGGGTCCTATACACGCGGGCTTAGGGAGTGTATGTTGAGTGTCGATTCTAGTCTCGATTCCTCATGTCGAGCACTGGCACAGTGAAACCATGGAGGTTGGGGAGGTCGAAAATGCAAATGTGTTTAAGGCTTAAGATCATGCTCAATGTCGTTCTACGGCAGAGTGTTCACAAAGATTGCATTCCATACTAGCACGATCTATCTATATATCCACTCGACCTATCTACCGATCTACCTCTCTACCTACTGATCTATCTATCCATCTATCTGTCTACCTGCCTATCCACCGTATCTATCCAGCGATCCGTCTGTCTGTCGATCTATAGATCTACTGTATCGATCTGTCGAGCGGTCCATGTGTCTGTCTATCTACACATACATAGATAGACATACATAATTACCTACATACCTACCCACACACGTACGTACATAAAGCAAAGACGGTTCTCCTATAGCAGAAGTAGTCTGCAGCACAGAAGAACTGCAAACTTTGAGTGATGTGCGTTCAAATCATTCAAAGCTGCGGAGCATCCAATGTACTGGAGCAGCGCCGGCGGATTAAATCCATACTTACCGCTGTGTCAGCCAGCGGAAAGCTCGCTGCAGGATGCCCATGGCCATCAACTGAACGGCGCGGCGGTGCGCTCCCGCCAGGACCCCGCGAAGAAGTCCCTTTGCCTGGCTCGAAACACCTCCTGGAACTAGCATTGCCAAACGAAGGGCTGCAGAGTCCAAGTCGCCGCGGTAGGAGTACCACACTGACAGGACAGCGTGAGCAGCGTAGGCGCCACAAAATAAGCCAACCAACATGCAGCTGGAACTGCCGAGCATGGCCGTGACCCGCGGCGCTACTACGACTGCAATGCCCAGTGGCAACGCATGGTCTCGCAAGGCCACGATGGCAACACAACAGGCTGGTGGAGGAGCCACACGAACCAGAAATTCAGCAATTGGGTTTGCACTCTTCGATGGGGTGCATGCCACGGCCACACCCTTCAAAAGGAGGCAAATGGTAGATGCCATAACCCGCTCGGCACCGATTAAACGCAAAAGCACTTCACGGCGTGAGAGCACTTCCACCAATCGCTGCTGGGAGATCACACTTATCAGGTTCATGCAGAAGATGACGGACTTCTCGTTGGCAAAAAGATGCGAGCGCTCTGCATCCAGTAGCCAAGCCATGGGACCCAAGATTCCCAGTGGTGTGCCTTGCTGAAGCCCTTCCCGCCAGAACCAAAGCTGGTCCACTCCGAAATCCATGATGAGGAGCACATACAACCAGGCTGCAAGAAAGCATACGGCTCGGGATGCCACGCGGATCACGAGCACTCCTCGCACGATCGCCCGCACGGTGACGCTCGCTGTCGACAGCTCGTCCTCACTGCAGACCAAGACCGCTGACATGCACTTCTGACACTACAGCTGACAGTTGGGACCCACCCATCAGACTCTCACATGCAGGACTGTGCAAGGAGAATCATTCTCCCAATCTGCTTCAATTCAAGTGTTCCTTGTCTCGAGTCCTGGGCAACACTGGTTGCTTGCATGATGCTATCCCGTGATTCCCGTACTCAAGCTATGCTTCAGAAATTAACCTTTCAAGCATGTTCTCCGTACCTGCTTCAGTCAGCCGACATGTTGCACGAAAGTAAGCCTAAAATGTTCTATCAGCAGCATTTTATTGCCTGTCGGAATCATTTCGCAAGAGCTTCTGGATTTCATCTTCAATCGTCAGGCTCTTCCCCCACGGTCAGATGTGGAAACAGCAGGCATGGGCGTTGTTCATGCGCATTGTGGAGTTCTGCATTGGTCTCAATGTGTCCATGCACTCGCATAGGCCTACTGCCTGCTTTTGTGACACAGATGCAACAGCGACGCGTGAGACCTGTCAACACGCGTCACAACCCTCATGATGACTCATGTCACAAACACGGACCTCGGGATACTCCCTCTGCAGCTGGTGAAGGACGACCTCTGGGCAGACGACGGAGACCGCTGGCTGGCATCTCAGTTACAGCTGAGCTCGTGGCCGAGAAAAGACTGTAGAGTCCCAGCCTCAAGAATCAGGGCTGCGCATGGCTTCTCTGGCATGAAATTGGTACAGTGCCAGGGCTGCCACGAAGCACAAGCAACTCGGTTCAGAAGATCCCAGCCCTGCCACCCTCGGTCATCAGCATGCACAGATCCTCAATTTCGAATCTGAGGTTTCGTGAGGGTGGCACCATGCAGCTCAGCTGCTGGGCTCAGGGCACTGAGCACCTGAAGAACTCACTTACGCTGCTAAACGCAAAAGTTGCAAGCTTAAAGCGGAGCACTCTTTGTTCATGTGGTCTGTGCAGTCTGAGAAGGGAGGGACAAGTCAATGGCATGCCCTCTCATGCGAGAAGATGAACATCGCGATGTGCAACGCACATCGTGCACAATAGTTTCCGGCAGTGGATCATCTGCCCCTGATCTGGGACCCACGCCACAGACAAAGAAGACATGGTGGAAATGGCAGGAAGAAGAGCATGCAAGAGGAATACCTTTCGTGCAAAACTGAACTTTTCAACCTGATCGTCCCATTCAGTTGCCCTGCTTCCCGTTTTGAGATCAGGACCAGCGCGGTGACCTGCAGCGGAGCATCCACGCAGCGTCGCGTAGCGAAAGAGCACACTGGGGCGGCGGCGGTTTGTGGCCAGGCCTCCTCGAACTTCTCCCGCGCTCGCTCCTGACGACGGAGGGCCATGCAAAGGCCACACGAAGGCCACGTGGCTGAGGAGGGTGCCCAGCGTCCCACGTCGCTGTAGCCAAAGAGGCTTAGGATTCCTGAAGTCCTGGCAATGTCGCTACAGCGGATACTCGACAGAGGGTAGATAGATTTCATGTGCTCACCTGGCCCTCTTTCGCCACTGCACGTTGGGACGGAGGTAGATTGCCACACCTCATGGATCACCACTTGATTAGAACTGGCAATCCTGGCCAGTGCAACATGACAGACATTTCTCAGAAATCGCAGTACAACTTCTCAAGGAAAAGCATACACGGGTCACGGGTCACCCTAACCTGATTTCTGAAGATAAAGGTACCTGTCAGGAGCAGAGCTTCTGGCAAGGCCCCGTCAGGAAAAGCACCACCGCCGGCGCAGACCTCACGTACGCCCGAGGCAACCTGCAGCTCCAGGGTTACGGCCGTGCTGGGCTCGGTCAAACAACAGCACATTCTACCAAGCTTTTAGCGCCAGTCGTGCCAGTCGTGCCAGTCATTGTAGCCTTGCTCCAGCCGCTGTCGCGGGCGCTTCTTTGGCAAGGGCTTCCAGACGAGATCACGCTGGTCATCGGGAGCCCGGTGGGACTTCTTCGCATGTGCGACATCCCTCTCTGACTCCCGCGGCTGCAGTGGCCGTTTCTTCGGCACTGCCTTTGGGATAGGCTTTTTGCCAGCCTCCGGCAGCGACTGCTTGGGCAGCAATACCACTGTTGGCTTCTTCAGAGCCGCCCTTCCCGATCTCTCGGTGCAGAAGCAGAGACATTCAGAGAAGACTTCGTCTTTGGGCAGGTCTCCATCGACTTTGAACGCATCTGAGGCATTGCCGAGTTGGCACTCCTTATACCGTTCGTAGTGGTGCCAAACCTCGTCTCGAAACCAGGCTTCTTTCTCAGATTTGTTGGCCTTCTTGCGCTTGCCCTTGGCCCGCTTGAAACGCCTCTGCATGCATGTCCTCAGATGGCACAAAGACTCGGCGAGACAACGGAATCATTCTAATGGTATCCAATAGTTATAGGTGCAAACGTGCTTCTCCAGCGATGCATCTATCCAGATTTTCGCCTGGAAGAGCTTGGCGATGCTCTGCTGATAGAACAGCAGAAAACCTTCCTTGGGCACCACGTCAGCCCCCAGCATCCCCGAGCTACCAGCATCCGAAAGTCTCAATCAGAAATCGACGCCGTCTGGAGCAGCCAAGTCGCAAGGAACAGAACAACCTGCTCTGAGTTCAGCTGGCGGCCGCCCTGACCCTTGCAGATGACATCGGATCGAGAGATGCTTGGACCAAGCATCAGACGATCTGGGACCTCAAGTCTTGTGGGGAACCAGAAGCCCTGTCCTTGCCCAAAGTCCAGTGAACCTAGTGAAAAAATGGGCTAATGGCTTTTGTACGGCCATGCAGGAAACCACCACGCAAACACAGACTTTGAGATCCGGGGGCTGTTTCTGCGAGGGCCAGCACCTCAACCGCCTTCTTGACGTCGTCTTTCAACGTCTGGAAGTCTATGCCCTCCGGCGTCTCCCAGTTCTTCCCGCCGCCAACCTGCAGAAGTCTTGCAAGAGAGCATGCCTTGCAAAGTCTTCAAGCACTTAAAACTTAAACTACGGACGCAATGATAGCAGACCCAGAACAGGACGGGCTACGCCGATTGTAACCAGCATACGTGATGTGTCTGTAACATGACACATGCCTTAGTTGCTTCGTGCGTACAACACGGAGTCTGCAGGCCCAGCCGGATTGAAATCACCTAAACGAGGCCATCAACACTACAACACCGATCGGTGGCCCTGCGCCTTGGGCATCCACTTCGGTATCAAGTAGTTGTCGAGGCTGATCGGAGCAAAGGGAGACCCCATCTGCTGGGCCAGCTTCTGGGCAACTGTGCTCTTCCCGCATCCACTTGCGCCAGCAATGCCTTGGCACAAGCACTCGACTGATGCAAAGATCAATGCACAGTACTTGACAGGTCTGCTTGCAGCTGCAATACATGGTCCATGCATCTACTTGATCTTGGAGACATGCACATCATGCGAGGTTGCTACGAGTTCGACTTTACGAACCACTGCACAAACACGGCTGCCGACTGCCACTGTAGCTTCTGGGATCGCAAGAACCGTCGCTTACGAATATTCCTAGCGACAAAACGAACAAAGGCAACAAGCAATTTGCTGACTGAGACCAGGCCGCCTATGACAAGCACTCGTCGTTTGACTCTTGGCCTGGATGGGAAGAAGCAGCAAGTTCCCCGAGCCTCCCAGACTCCCAGAACATGCCTGTCATGCCTTCCCCTTGCGAGGTCGGATGAGATTGAACGCAGTGATTCAATTTTACTAGAGACGATGCGACGATTGCCGTTCGATCGCCCGGAGTTGATGGCTAGCGGCACAGGGCTTTTGCATGCCACACACACACACACACGACAACATGTTGTGATGTAGTGGGGTCTCCTACCGGATGCTTGCAGATTGTCACATCTTGACTCTTGACAGAAGCTCTGCGAGCTCCCTGCCCTGGCTTTTCGCGGAAGTCGGCGCACTCCGAGATCTTCATCAAGCTTCGACACGCGCATCCGAACCAGTGCTACACCCAGACTTGGCCGATCAAGCCCATGCAATATGCCAACGTACGCCAGCTACATTGGAACTGCGCTTTGCCCATGGTTTCAGCTTACACAATCCTCAAGGAACGAGTCGAGCGATGTAACTTGGAGTTTCGGTCCCTGCCTGGCTTCTGCACCATCGCTCTGGGCTGGAGTCGCAGCCGTCGCTCTGACTTGTCGGGGGCGGAGCAGTGCGCCAGGGCATGTAGCAACCATAGCAAGCCTGCGCCGTTCGGGGCTTCAGGGATGGAGTACGGTTCTTAAGTGTTTCTAAGGCTCAGGGAGGCATAGCCAGGTCAATTGACGTGGCTGCTTTGTGCAACTTGCGAACCTGCTCAGCTCTTCCACGGTGTGCGTGGAGACGAGGCGCGACGCTGTCACCTTATGTGCTGTCCTTGGCTGCGCTTTACTTCAACCCTAAACCTTCTTCCAGCCCTAACCGTGTTTTTCCCTCATATATCCCCCGAAAACAACCCTTCAAAGAGAAGACCCTCCTGATTAGAGTCTTCGAAACTCGTAAGTCTTGGGAACTGCTCAAAAGATCAGTGGACTTCACAGGCAGGAAAATCCTAGGTGCAATTATGCAGGACCTGGACAACGCTTTAGTGCGAATTGGGAGGATCCTCATATGGCCCTGCCTACAGTTACCCGCATCATGCAGGATATCAACATTGACATACCCTTCACCCATAATTTCGCGAAGAGCCGCGAGACCCGAAAGGCATGAGCGCATCAGTCAGGATCGAAGGAGGCGTCGGCATCTAACTTTAAGATGAAGTGTTCTCTAAATTGACTCTGTACGTCTTTCAGCTTCTCGTGGCCAGTAGATACACGCTTCCTTCTTGAATCCATTGTATGTTGTGGCTGTCGCGGCTGTTGGTCGGTTTGGCGAATTAAACAGCTCCAGAGATCGTGCCAACACTGCATCAACCTGGCTAGGATGTCACGTGGAAGCTGAATGTCACAACGTCGCATCGCACCTTCCGAGTGCAGCCGACAACCAGCTTATCAAAGTGGGCACAAACCTGCCGGCTGACAAGTCAGAAGCGTTTGCCTGAGGCTTATGGAAGCCCGCCTTGCAATCATGAAAAGGTTTGGTGCTGCCATTCCGAGAACGAGAAAAGGCAGGGAGCACCTGAACTAGTATCACAGGAGAAGCTGAGAGCAAAAGATATCATCACCATCGAGCTTATCAGCGGCAAGATCTTGTTGGGCCCCAGCCAAAGAATCGCACAGGAGGCAAATGACTTCTTGCCTTCGACGCCAACTAGACACCACTACTTAATTTAACACTGGTATTTTATTTGCACGGATATATCTGGATAGATACATTGACAGATATATAGGTATATGACGGTATACAGGTATGGCTGTATGTACATATACTATTGATTTATCCAGTCTTGATGATTTATTGGTGGTAGTGGTAGTATAGTGGTAGTAGTGGTACTAGTAGAAGAAGTAGGAGTACTAGTAGTAGCAGTAGTAGTAGAAGTAGTAGTAGTAGTAGTAGTAGCAGTAGCAGTAGTAGAAGAAGTAGTAGTAGTAGTAGCAGTAGCAGTAGCAGTAGTAGTAGAAGTAGTAGTAGTAGTAGTAGTAGTAGTAGTAGTAGTAGTAGTAGTAGTAGTAGTAGTGGTAGTGGTAGTGGTAGTGGGTAGTGGTAGTGGTAGTAGTAGTGGTAGTGGTAGTGGTAGTGGTAGTGGTAGTGGTAGTGGTAGTGGTAGTGGTAGTGGTAGTGGTAGTGGTAGTGGTAGTGGTAGTGGTAGTGGTAGTGGTAGTCGTGGTAGTAGTGGTAGTGGTAGTGGTAGTGGTAGTGGTAGTGGTAGTGGTAGTGGCAGTGGTAGTGGCAGTGGCAGCGGCAGCGGCAGCGGTAGCGGTAGTGGTAGTGGCAGTGGCAGTGGTAGTGGTAGTGGTAGTGGTAGTGGTAGTGGTAGTGGTAGTAGAGGTAGTAGTGGGGAAAGGAAGTCCGACATCCGACCAAGAACGTGCAGTCAATCTTGCTGATCTTGGGCTGCAACTTTTTTGGATTTTGTTTGGGAAGGGGGGCAAGATTGCAGGCAAGCTTGCTTCGCTCGGAACGGAGGGGGCAAGATGTCACGGCACAATCTTGCCAATCTTGCTCTACGCCCGGGCTGCTTGGACCACTTGCACCACTTGAACCACTTGCACCATTTCTCGTGAAATGATGCAAGTGGCGCAAGTGGTTCAAGTGCCGCAAGGGGTTCAAGTGGTCCAAGTGGCGCAAGACTCCCCATCGTGCAGACTAGCAAGATTGCAAAGTGAGCAAACTTGCCTGCAACCTTGCCCCCCAAACCGGCAAGTTCCCATTCACAGATCTCTCCCTCAAAAAACATCGAGAAGTTCCAAGTTCGCACTCTGAGAAGCACGGTCGGAGCCGCCGGTCTTCTCAAAACTAGCTTAGGGTCGCGACTGAAGATTTCACAAGAGCTTGGTTAATAGCTCAATGGCGTTGCCAAGCAATCCAAGAGCACGGAGCTTGGCTAGCTGTGGAGCACACACGCATTGCAGAAGAACAGGTGGTGCCCGAGCTCGTGGCGAAAGAAATCCCGTGCAGCGGATGCTGGTGTAGCTGTGACGTGGACAAAGCCATCCTGTCAGTGCTTGTCACGTCTGCGGCCCCGCGTTTTCCAGAAACCTCGCCTCGTCCAAAGCATCATTTCCACAGCTGCTATACCTCGGTGCCCGAAGATTGTGAAGTTAGTCGCCGGTTTTGCGACGGAGATTCTGCGACAAACAAATTCTCGTTGTCACAAAGAGATGCTCGATGTTTTGATGCGTGCCTGAGGGGCAAGCAGAAGAGATGCCAACTCGAAACAGTCCACGGCGGCTTGAAGGCCGGTGGCCTCGGTTTGCAAGGGGTGCGAAACAGGTTTGAAGAGCTAGCTGTAGCCGCTGAGAACATGGCGCGTCTCAATGCCCCGCGAATCATGAAGCGTGCCACCTGCAAGAATGCTGCTTGCAGGCGCACAACGAGCACCGAGCTGTGCCTGCTGAGCCGTTGCAGATACCAGTGTGGCCGGATTCAGGTCCGATGCCTCATCATAGGAGGTAACTTCGCTCATGATTGTTGTCCTTCTGCACTGTCGGGATGAGGATGTCACGTTCTGCTGCTTCAGAGCAGCCGCGCACGAATCCTGACGAAACCCGTCTGCCACGCCTACGGCTTGCCGATCAAACAACGTGCAACAACTCGCCTTGTCATCTCCAGGGGGGACCAAGCAGAGCAAGGCCTGCCAGCGGTAAAAGGCTGTGCAGCTGGCCGCATCTGACAGCATGTTGCTTCTAAGGTCCTCGTGCTGGACGCGAGCTGATTCAAGGTCATGTCCTGGGACTTAGGACTTAGGTGTCTCGGGGAGTAACGCATCCCTTCTTCAACCAGTGCAAGACAGCAGCCATACATGGCAGCCACGATGAGAATGCTGCGAAGGTTGCCTCAGGCAATGTGCCCACACTCGCACGTACACACACCAGATTCCAATGCATGATGATGCATTTTTGTCTGAGCACTTCGCCCCAAGTTGTCCGAAGCAGAACCTCAGGCGACAGCACGAAAGGCCACGCTGCACTGCTATGATAACTGCTACAGACACCTTTGCGAGGTAACTATGTAAGGAGACTCCAGCTACAACAACTACAGTACTGCCCTAGGTCAAGTTATCATGGTGACTTGTGCGAGGGCGTAACTCGCCATATCTCGACGCTGACCTAGACTAAGGCGGCAGGCATGTAGCATTGCTGTCTAGATTGGCCGACTGTCTGCGCTACTCCAACCAGGCGCACCAAAGCCGGTTGACCGAGTCCAGAAGCTGCCGCCCTCATCACGAGACCATGAACGAACGCATTTTAGAACACGACGGACAGAAAAAGACCTGCCACAGGCCACAGAGGGATCACAAAGCTAAAGGCGCGAACAAGATCAGCTCAAACGAGGGAGAGCTGGGTGCCGAGCTGTTGGACAGCCCAGCACTGGAATCCTCTCAAGGCAGAAGTTCAGCACAACGGTGGAGACGGACCTGGCAGAGTTCTCCGGTAGCAGTAGTCAGTTGTCGTTGTTTCTGTCCGCGCCTCTCCGAGCCTGCGACAACCTCCAGCAGGGTAGAAATGCGCAACGCACTGAGGTTTAGATGCCCGGATGCCTCGCGCACCGCGGCCTCCACCTCACGGTCATGCCTCATATTTGGCTGCATTCTTCGGCCGATCTCACCAACACCACAAGTCGAGATCTGGGCTGGCACAGCAGTTCGGCTGCTCGCTCTTCGGCAGGAAGTACACCCAGCTTCTGACAGAGCGACGATTTTACACTTGACATTGCCCGCAGAAGACATTGTAGAATTGTAGAAATCACGTGCCAGGCTGGCGGGTATACCATGGACTGCCGGAGCCAACATCCACGTAAGCATCCGCTCCATTTTGGCCTCTTCCGAGCTTATCGGGATCTGGCACTGATCATATGAAAGTGCGGCCTCCACTGAACCCCTTCCCGTCTGCAATGCGTCGACCTTAAAGCGCCAGCAACATAGTTCCAGTTTAGGTTATAGGTGTGGTACAGCACAGCTTGCCTTAACCCCGCGGATCTTTGGTGGCGTCCACACAACTCGGAGACTTGGAAGCCTGCCACATCGTCCTCTGCTACAACCAAGCCCTCCGTGTCCACGACCTTGCTGCAACGAGCTTGAGATTGTTCCAGCAGGCAAAGCAACGGCGGCCAAGCCTGCCAGGAGTCCAAGCCGGCGCTTACCTTCCGCACGAGTGCTACTTCTCTCAGAGCTTCTGAGACTGCAAACCTTTGTCGGGGGCCCGACCAGATCGCCAGATGGCTGAGACCCCGCGAGGATACTGCCGGGCACATGTCTCTGCCAAGCTCGCAACTAGTACAAAAAAACATCGATCCCCGCCTCTCGTCACTCACGAGGAGGTCTCCTCTGCAATCGAAGATACGTCTCGCAACTCTCTACCGAAAACTTGCGAAATCGAGCGAGGAGCGCCTTCCACAGTTTGTCTGCCCTGCGAGGAGTCGCAGACCGGATCCTCAGATGCAACAGCTTCAAGGCTCAGACTAAAGCGACGTAGAGCGACTAACAACTCATCTGCGCTGCATGCTTGGCTTTCTTGTGGCTGTGCACTGTCCGAACAGGCGAGCCATGGTGCTCAACTTTTTGAACACTCCTTGCCGGGATCACCCGGCAATGCCGCAGTGGACCACTCGACGCATGCGCTTGCGCATCAGAATGTGCATTACGATGTGCGGTGTTCTCAACTTCACGGCTCGTCGTCTTGCAATCCGGGTCCACGCCACCCCCCAAGGGCGCGGAGCAGGCTGAACTTGGGAAGCTGGGAGCTGGCCCAGCTGGAGCCCACCACAGCTACCACCCTGGACTAGAGATCTACTGCCAGCCCTTGGACAAAACGAGGTTGAGCTTTGCGCGACAAGACATGTCTTGTAAACTCTGGGGCACATTTTGATTTTGGGAGTAGTCCTGTTTACCCAAGTTGCGACTTGTTTGGCTCCTAAGGCGTGGCAATATGTTTGTCATTACTGCCTTGTCTTTCTATAATCCCTTGTCTATACCTTTCCCACAAGTCACAAGTCTCCTTGGAGATATGCTACAACGACAGGGGCTGCGAAATAATGTTACTCTCTTGAGCGGGAGAGCATACAACAGGATAAGTCTTGCGAGTGACCCTATTCGGGAGCACATAGTGTAACGAAAGGAACAGAGCAGGGGAACAGGCCGTCGGCTCCGTGTGTCGGAAACAGCGAAAACCCATGTAACAGCAATACTAATCCTAGCCACTCAAATAACGGAGTGACAAAGACAAACAAGACACAATATGGGAAAGAGGTCATTCCGTTGGAAGGGGAGGTCTGGAGCACTCTCAAGCTACGCAGTTTGATGCGTGCTTTGTTTTGGCCGAGGAACACGACTCCATGCATCTCGAGGGCTAGCGGTGGGGCTTGGGACTTTGAGAAGCATCTTGCTTCAAGCTTTGCAAAGCCCGGCCCCTGTCCAGCACATCAGTGAAACACCTAGCAAGCCGACCCAAGTCTTGCGCAAAGACTGAAGGCTTTCTGGGATGAGCTCATCTCGAAGGACTCCCGTCAGGTGCGAGAACCTGATTGAGACGAATAAATACATTCCCGACACTATCACCAGATTCGGCCAGAAATATCCCGGTATCACTGCCAGAAGCTTCTTTGGCGATCCATTGAGACCTGTGGTTCGCATCCAGATATGGAACTGGAAGATATAGGTTTCCAGGGTCACTCTCCCCATGTATGCGAAGAGGTGCAAGTGGTACTCACGCAAAGTTGGCGTCAAGTTTCGCACCAAGAGGTAGATTGTCAGAGGCACGAAAGACCTCGAAGGAAGAAGCGTAACTGCCAGCTTCTGTCATGCAGTCATGAAGCTTTGGATGGACAGCCTGTGACGCAACTGAGAGCCGGACGTGTAAGGGTGGATCTTGTTGTACTCCAGTTTTGGCAGGCGGAAGGCAAAATTCCACCAGGCCATTCCAGCACAGGCCGAAAAAAGGATCATCCCCGATCGGACCAAAGCTTGCTTTGACCATGACTCCTTCTCCAACTTCTGCAAAAAGCCAGCCGCATACTCGTAATGCAATGCAAATACCATGCCGACGATCCAGATGAATCGGTCGAGGCCGGATCTGAAGTGGAACTCATGCATCTCGTCTGTGAATTCGGGATGTAGAGGATCGTGAAACGCGAAAAGCGGTCTGACTCCGGGCAGCGTACCAAAGACCAATCTGAATATCATGTCAGGCCCATCATACAGGCATAAAGTCAATGCAAATGTCAACGCAATTTTTACCCAAAGGACAGTTCCAGAGGTGTTCAGGGCATGCCCAATGTACATGGCAAGCAACACGAATACCGTGAAGATCGTGTGCATCGCGCAGATGTAGTACAGCATATACTCATTCCCCAAGACAGTGCACACGGCAAAGCCCAGAAAGTTTAATCTAAAAAGCATCTGAAGCGTGCGTCGAATGGTATAGCTCTTTCCCTTGCGGTACAGAAAGAAGTTGCCATACCCTGTCATCCAGACATATGCAGCAATGTAAACGCGGATCGCATTGTAGACCTCCTTCTCTTCGAAGTAGTGATACCTGGTGACAAGCAAGCATTCGTTGCAGCTCCACCCGAGTTGTGTGAACCACGGCTGACACTTCATGCAGGCTTGGCACATTAGAAACATGATCTGCATCCAACCTTTCCATTCGTCTGTTTGCTCTCGCGATAGGGGAGCAGAGTCCTTGCCTTTGCGGACTGTAAACAACGATGCCACCACGATCGCCGCCCAAACAGCCCAGAATTGGCCGGGATCTCGAACTTTCTCGGCTTCCGGCAGCACTTCGGTACGATCGCAAAGATACAGAAGTCCCAGGATCACCTCTCAGGGCTGAGTCAGATCCCTGAGCCCGAACCCGAAGAACCCATTCCCCGAGTACAAGGGCGAGTTGCAGCCATTTCGGCCCCGGCTCGTAGGACCGACTGGTGACTCCTCAGCCAGACCTAGGGACTCTGGTAATTTCTTTGCACGCAGGGACGCAGGGCTCTGATTAATGGCTTAGGACTTACTGACATGGGCTTCGAGGGGTTAGGGCTTTTTGTTTTAGGGCTTGCTTAGACTAGACCGTTCCCGAACCCGAAGCTGTTTTCTCTCCAGGCTCAAGGGGACGTGGAAATCTACATTGCACATCATGAGCAGCTGGCAAATCGTTCTGAATTCAGCCTGTGGTGCCGGAAGATCTGTCTGGGTGGGAAGAGCCTGTCACAGAATTCATTGTCAACGCCAGTGGGTAAGTCGTCTTGAAGCAAGAATGCCTTGTTGTATGCCTCCTACATAGCACAGGCCGCAGTGATGACAATCGCCTTTATTCATCTTCGTACGACCTCCCTGCATCGAGCGACACGTTTCGAGTGTGTGCTGTTTTGAGCGTGCAGGTCCAGTGCTGGTCGGGTTTGTGGGAAGTTTGACTCGCTCCACTTCGGCCATGTGCCTGTGGCGACAGCTAAAAACGTAAAGACCCGAGCGTTTGAGGCCTTCGCCATGGAGGCCTCCGTGACGTTGGCCAGCTCCACATCTTTCTCGTCTCCGGCATTGATCTGGGAAAAGGTGTCAAAAGTCACTTGCAATTAGCTTCTGGAAACACTTGCTTTGCAACCCTTCCTCAGTAAGAGAACCAGCTCAGACTTTGCAGGGGACGTGAAGAGAGAAAGACAGAGAGAGAGAGAGAGAGAGAGAGAGAGAGAGGGAGAGAGAAAGAGAGACGAGAGAGGGAGCGAGAATCTGGGAATCCAGGCTGGGTGCATGAGACAGCAGGCCTGCCAACTGCGAATTAGCACGTATGTCCTCTACTGGAGGATTTGACACTAGGCAGTCTCCAAGAACAGACCACACCGAGGCTGCATGGTGCTGGGGTAAGAGTGGGCACCATGCGATGGCGTATGGTGGCAGTCTGATTGTGGTGGGTTTCGTGCATCAAGATTGCAGCGCCAAGGCCGGCACTTGGTCAGCGTCTGCCACTCCGACACGTTCTGCCGGTGGCTCGCATGGATCGTTCTGGGCTGCAACATCCTTATTTCATGCGCAGACCCAGGATGGTTGAATCTGTCCGGCACTCCTCCACCGCCTGCTGCCGTGACACGTACCCTTCTGCAGCTGGATGCTGCAAAAAGTAGGAGGATGCGGATGCCTGAAGTCTTCAGACTGGGTGCTGCGGGGTCTTCTCCGACGTCGGTTCCAAAAGAAAGCGGCACTCTGCAATTGACGCGTTGAGGCGAGGTGCCTCTGCCGCTGCCCAAGTGGCCAGAACCAAGCTGCAGAAAAGGGCCGCGGCGATCTGCAGCTGGCTGTGGCTACCGTACCTAGAGAGATCCGATCCCAGCAATCCCCGTTGTGCGAATGGCCGCAGTGGAGTCAGTGGAGCGCCTGGCCTGTGTAGGGAGCCCAGGAAGAAGCAGCAGGCGAGGCTCAGGGCTAAGGCCGCGAGCCAGAGAAGCCCCAAGCGCACAAACATCACCCCACCTGCCCTGGTCCGACCTTTCTGGAGCTCGAGCCGATGGCTTGGCGGTGCCAACTCGAAAAAAACTTCTTGGGACTTCCTTGCTCTTCTGAAAAGCAAAGGCCCATGCCCACGGAGACTGAAAACGCATCAGTCGACAGGCACCTTGCCAAAAGCGACTTACAATTGGCGACCCGAAGCCCTCAGTCCAGGAGCCTTCTCGCACGGCTGCCACTGTAAACCTGCTGCCATCGGAAGGTCCGTGATACAAAAGAGTTCGACTTTGCTTCTGAGACGGTGAAGATACCGGCTGCCTTGAAGTTGCACTTCCATCTTCTTCAGACAGCACCTGCGTGCACGAGGCTCTCGCAGAAGCGACCTTTCCCTCGACAGCAGGGTTTCTGCATGCAATGCATACAAAGGGTCTCTGCATGGAAAGTTCTGGTATACCAGCCAAGTCAGCGGGCCCTTACAAGCTGCGCCTGAACCAGACTCATCCTGTCGAGCTGGGACTCGCTCAAGGCATCCTGCAATACCGTAAAACGAACAGCCCCGTGGTGCAAGAAGAACCTCGCAAATCCAAATCTCCTGAAGCTTACCCGGTTCGGGAATGTGGGGCTGCTTAACCTCCACAAGTTCACAGGCCTGGACACCCGCGCACACACACACACAGGCACACTGCCATGGCCTCGCACTGCAACTTCATCTCCTCCTAGCGAGAGAAGCCGATCTACATGTGACACCGAACACGAAGAGTCCCGAAACGTGGCGGATCGATGCGGATCGCTGGACTGCTGGCCTCTGCGCTGCATTCATTCTCGAGCTGCCAGTCATCCCCGCGCCCTTCGGGCTCTGGTTCTGTCGCTGGCTGCTCCAAGGCGCCACCTGAGCGGCGCTCGTGCTCGGCGCTCGCGCTCGGCGCTCGGCTTCGCTTTGACAGGGCACTGCACGAACACGAACAACGAGAGTCGCTGATAACGCGAGGTCCGTACAGGAAATGGCTCGCGCAGGCATGGGTCCCAGCACCCATGAATAGAAAGCTCGGCTTCCCGTTGAGCCGCGAGAGAGGCGAGCGAGAGGTTCACCAGCAACGGCTACGGGTACTGCTGGCCTCTCTACTCTGCGCTCCGATTGACTCCCCCATGCGGTTTGTTTGGTCCTGTAGACAGCTAAGGGCTGCTGGTGCACAAGTCTCCCCCAACATGCATCCCGCACGTCTTCTAAGTTTCCCAATCCACTGCAAGCTGCTTTTGGAACTGTCGAAGTCTTGTCGCATCCACTTCGGGATGCTTGGTCTCCAGGGAGTTTCGGCGGGCTTCAGCCGAGTTCCATATGTTACCGACAGGGCAAACCCTGCACATGGCGTCGGTTACTTCATCGAGCCTGAGCAAAGAGAACTCCCAGATTGTCGCGCCATCCCGCATTGCAAATGTCGTCGCGAGATTCTTCCGCCGGAATGTCGCTTGCGCGCGGCTCTCGAAGATAGGCTCGAATCGCCTTTGCCTGGTCTGATTTCCTCCTTCGCGAAGCGGCCCAAAGTGGCAGCGATCACTCGTCCAACACAGCATCAAGCAGAGAGAGCCTGTCCGTGTTCCTAGTTGCTCGGGGCCGGCCGAGTATCTCTTTCCACTGACTGCGGAGCTGCAGCTGGCACAGTTCCACTATTTGCATGTGCCGCTGGTGGAAGCTGTTCCTCTCCCAATTCTGACGGGCTCTTGTGCTCTTGAGGCTGCGCATGCCGGGGAGGCAGCTGCTCGCTTTGTCGAGACAGCTCGGACTGCTGCTGCGGCTGTGCCACTGCGTGCTGCTGGGCTGATTGGTCCTGATGCAGCTCTTGCTGCGATTGCTGCGCGGCCGGCTCCTTCGCGGGTTGCGTCAGAGATTGCTGCGCCTCCTGCGACTCCCGCTTTGGCGATTGAGGTGTGGGCTTCGGCGCGGGGGCGGGCGCAAGCGGCGGCTGCGGCTGCGGCTGCTGCTGCGGCTGCGGCTGCTGCTGCTGCTGTGGCTTCTGCTTTGGCGACTGCTGTGGAAGTTGTGCGGGCGGCTGTTGCTGCTGCTGCTGCTGCTGCTGCGGCGTGGGCGGCTGTTTTGGCGACTGCTGTGGATTTTGGGGTGGCGACTGCTGCTGCGGCGGTGTCTGTTTTGGCGACTGCTGTGGAAGTTGTTCGGGGTGCTGCTGCTGCGGCTGCTGCTGCGGCGGCGGCTGATTTGGCGACTGCTGTGGAAGTTGTGGGGGGTGCTGCTGCTGCGGCTGCTGCTGCGGCGGTGGCTGTTTTGGCGACTGCTGTGGATTTTGGGGGGGCGGCGGCTGCTGCTGCTGCTGCTGCTGCTGCGGCGGTGGCTGTTTTGGCGACTGATTTGGAAGTTGTTCGGGGTGCTGCTGCTGCGGCTGCTGCTGCGGCGGCGGTTGTTTTGGCGACTGCTGTGGAAGTTGTGTGGGGTGCTGCTGCTGCGGCTGCTGCTGCGGCGGTGTCTGTTTTGGCGACTGCTGTGGATTTTGGGGGGGCGGCGGCTGTTTTGGCGACTGCTGTGTAAGTTGTGGGGGGTGCTGCGTCTGCGGCTGCTGCTGCGCCGGCGGCTGTTTTGGCGACTGCTGTGGAAGTTGTGGGGGCGGCTGCTGCTGCTGCTGCGACTGTGGTGAGGATACACCAGGAAGCGCACGGCAGGGTGCCAGCTTGCGAATCACCTCTGCATGATCCGCCTCAAGCTTTTGCAAACGTGCCTGCGCTTCGGGGTGCTTGCTGAGGAAGGGTCCGAAGTCCCTGGCGAATCCGGCACATGCCTTGAGAGCTGCCTCCGCTGCGAGGGAGGTGTGGCACAAGTGTTTATGCTCTGCAGCATCCAGCACGCTGTTCAGCGGACGGTCCATGACACTCATCAGATCGATTTCAGCTTGGTGCTTCTTCATGATCTCTGTGCATCGGTTCGAGTCGTGATCAAGCAGCTGAATGCGTCTCTCCTCGTGCCCTAGATGCTCCACCAAGACATTTAGCAAGTGGCCGTCAAACTGCGTCGCCTTGGAGCTGAGATCCTCGGATGCCCCGGACAGAGCCCGAAGTGCCAGCAGCTCTGTCTCAGCAGCAGCTTCCTTCACCTTTCACGGACGCAGCACAAAGACTAAAGACTGCACAAGCATTGCAGCAGTGCAGCAACCGTAGGGGGGCCTTCTCTGCAGCTGCCCGCTCCTTCCTGGCAGCTAGGCCTTGCTCCTCACCGAAGCACAGTCAGAGTCGCTGCAGTTGCAACGGCCTAGAACGCGAGGCGAGGGGACGAAGAGAAGAGAAGACACTCCCACACTCCTCGATCTCCTTGAGGTTCTTGCGAAAAGTGGCTTCCACATCTTCGACAGCTCGGCGATGACGATCTTTTTGCACAAGCCAGTTCCGTTGTCCTTCACGTGCAGCATGGAGCTTTTCGTCGACAGCATGCAGCTGCTGTCGAAGTTGAAGCTTCTTGGTCTCCAGAGACTCAATCTGTGCATCTGCATCTGCGCGCTTCTCATCGACCACGGCGAGGTCTCTGGCAAGAGAGTCATGCGCCTCCCGCAGTTCTTGTTGCAATCGCTGCTGCCGTTGCCCAACACCTGTTCAACTCTGCCGGCATTTACAAAACGCGCATAACGACGTTCTGAGTTTAGACAGACTTTCACGATGCATTCCCGGTGGGCACCTTCTCCTTGACTGAAGGAGCTGGTGTAGACCTGCGAGGAAGCTTGAGGCAGGCAGACTGCATCGGAGTGGTCTAGGCTGTTGCATGCGTGCACTTGTCGCACTGGGTTCTACTACTTCGGATGTTGTATCCATGATTGTCATCGGCTAATTGTGATTGATACCTTTGTTTGTGCTTTTTGATCGGACTTTCATCATATTGCACAAGCTGCATGATTGGCAGCGACTGCACTGACATGACTTTGAAGCCCAATTTTTTGCTGCGCTGCACACACACACACAAACACGCACCCAGAGACACGCACACGCACACACACACACACACACACAAACACACACACACACACGCACACACACACACACACACTCACACACACACACACCACGAGTTGGAAGGTACTGTGTTCCCTACAGCCATTTTGATGGCTACAGGCCCCAGTCACTCTTTAGCCTTTAGCGGTGCCACATGTACCGTGTGGATGTGCATCTCTGTTCGGCCTTGGACACACTTGTTGGCTTGGCACGAAGCCCTGGAAGTCATGACCAGTCAAGCCTTCGAGGATTGAATTTGGACAGGCCTTTGGACGTGCGCTTTTGTCAGAGGCTGCGCTAGCTTCTTGAACCGTTGGCAGGTGCGACTGCCCTTTCCTCTCACAGGGCGGTCCTACCTGACCCAGTATTGCAAGGAGAATTTGGTGGTGGCGGTTTGCAAGTACACCCGGCACTCTCTACCTGCACGCACTTATCGCTAAGCCTAAACCTCAGACCTGGAACAATAATGGCAAATGGGTCCGGCTGACTGAACGAACATCTCTGCACCAAAAAAACAAAGCAACGACAGACCGCTGGCCTCGATGTCATCCAAGGTGCTCTGAAGCTGCCGGCTACGTTCCTGCATAAACTTAAACAGAACACTGAAGAAGTGCAGATTGCTTTTGCCACAGGCTTGCTGCCTGTGTACTTGCCGAGACCTGAGATTGTGCCTGTGCAGGCGAAGCACGGGCGGTCTGCCGAAGTGAGCTCAACGGATCCATGGCCTCCAGCAGAGATTGGTGGAGTGCCTGGAAGCACAGGGATCCTTTTTCTTCGATGTCCGGAGTTTTACGGCAGGATGCCCTGGAGGCTTTTGCATGCTGGAACTGCGGGGAGCCGATTCCTAACCTGCCAAGCCCTTCCGAACGGTGGATTGCCGGTCAGTATGCCAAACCGAACACAACTTCAGGATGACATCCTATCTACTACTGTGCATGCAGCTTCACGCACAGCATTGGCTTATCAGCATCACCACCATCGTTGGGCGGGAAAGGTGGAAAGGGATGTTCGGCTTCATGTGGAAAAGGAAGAAATTGCGGCTGCATGATTATGGCCGCAAGATCGATGCATTTTGGTGAGTAGACTCGAGTTCAACCTCTAAGAAATACCGCATCAAGAACATCGCACGATCCATGTTTGTGTGTTCCTTTCTGCAGCAGGTGTGCGATGTTGGGGCTTGCCTGTCAAAAAAATAGTTGGTGCACGGGAGAATGACTGCAAGCAAACACTGCAATGCATGTAAGCCGTCCACGTCGCACAGGCCTGCAGAGCATCTCCCATGTTTCGACTCGATGCTGGAAGCACGGTGCATGCAATCGCAGGGCGCACCCAAGAGTTCCGCGGATGCACGAACACGTCGGGCGGACCTGGCGCCATGCGAGGCTACCAGCGCCTCTGGGTGTTTGTGTGGGTTTCCGTGTGCGACCTCTCCAGGTCGCTCGGGGCAGACCCCAGTTGCTGCAACTCCTGCCACACTGCAGGCTGGGCTTCGAGACTTGAGCCACTGAGAAGCTCTGTGCTCTGTGTCATCCCAAGCCTTGCTTCGTTGCTCGGCCATCCTGTTCAGCTCAGATCGCTGGGCAAAGTCCGCCTCCCGTGCAGCGCAAGCGAGCAGAGAGCTGCGCTCCGGTGCGCTCCGGTGCTCCGGTGGCCTCTGTCCGCCAGTCAACCTCCGCAGCCATGAAGGGGCAAGGAAGCTTCGGATTTCGATCCCACGATCATGTGTGGCAGACCTTGCCGGCGGACAGCAGCTTTGCCGCGAAGTTGCTGTGCTGCTCCGTGCTTAGGTCGCCCCGCTCACCTACACTCAGGGGCCAAAGGTGCGAACGAGGCCCGCTAAGCCTAGCGCCCTCGCGCCTGAGAGTAAGGTAACGAGTTCTTGGCCCAGTGCCGCATGATCGTCTGGGAGGACCTTGGTCACTGGCCGGAGGATTCTTTTCTTACGAGAAACGTCGCCTCAATGCTGATCAATGCTCTGAGCAGCTTGGCTCGAGCCACCAGAAGGCGCAGGCCTCTGCTGTCTGTTGGCACCCCGCCGGGTGGCTGGCTACCTCACAGGGCATCTTGACATCTCAACTCTTACAACTTACAACAACCCTGCACTTGCGGTCCGAAGGCTAGGCTGATCACCAGTTTGCTGGCCCGCGCTTTTCAGCAGCTCTTCAGCCTTGATGCTGGAGGCGTTCAATGTGAGCTACATCCAAGTAGCACGCTGAGGGATCCACCGCGTGGCATCGGAGCAGGGATTGCCAAAACCTGCCATGGCATGAAGAGAGGCCGACAGCTGCTGCATGCCGACTGAAGTAGCCGGTATGACACATCTCTCGCCAAGCCGACATCGCTTGAGAGGCTCGCAGTGCTGAGTTGACGACACCATGCCTGGCTCTTTGCACTCTGCAGATCTTCGCCCCCCTAGCTGCGGCGCATGCCTGGCAGAGCTGGTCCACCGCAGCATCTCCTGCAGCAGCTGCTGCTCGCCTCGGCTCGGCTCGGCTCACGCAAAGCCCTTGCTTGGCCATCGCCATGGCCAGGAAGGCGCTTTTCGAGGCTGCGGCGCTTGCGCCTCGAGCTGTTCGTCACCGTCAGAGCCGAGAATCCGCTGCTTCACCTCGGCACGGCATCGCGGGGCCCACCGCAGCATCTCGTGGCATCTCGCGACATTCGAGGCCGAGGCCTGCTCCTTCGCGGTGGCGACCAGCGAACTGCTCTGCCTGAGGCCCACGAACTGCCCCAAAGAGGCGTGAGAGAAGATCTGGGGCATCGAGGCTTGAGTTGCTCTGCTGGGCTGGACCCATTCTGAGGTCCCGACTCGCGGACTTTTCCAAGAGCATCATTGAGCCACGGCATCAATCATGGCTCAGGCTGAAGATTATCTCACTGGGCACGTGCATTGCAACGGTCAAGGTAGCGGGTACGCCTCTCGCTCGTAGGCCCCTTCTTACATACAAGTTACATGTCGGACAGCTACACTTGAGACATGTGCTGACCTGCTGCGGGCAGCCAGTGCCATGACACGATGGTGCTACGTGGCCAACTGTTGCTCGAAGAGTCGCCTTGCTTTTCTCACGAGATTCTCAAAGCTCAGAAGAGGCCTGCCGGTTCGATTCAATCGATTCCTTCATGAACCTGAGGCGCATGGTCTTGCATCGATGGTTTGCATCTGCAGATGCATCTCAGGCCGGAACTGGGCAAGAACTTTCTCTGTCGGCTCTTCTTTTGCGAAAGACTTGGTGAAGGTTCTGAAAGGCTTCGCCAAAAGTTTGAGCGTGACGAAGGGAAATTCCTCCGACAGATGGCAACACGGCGGCAGCAGCTCATGTTGGTCTCGGGTTCACGACGCTTCAGCGTCCTTGCAGTCCATCTGCAGAAGCTTGGCTACAGGATCACGTACGTTGAAGAAGACGAATCCGTAGGACTTCCATTTCTTGGCAACTTTCTGAAATGCGCGAGCATACCTGTCAAGGTAGACTTGTGGCTAGTCGAAACTCTGCCATCTGGCTTAGAAAGCAGGGATGGCGCACTTCTTCGCCTGGGCCTCGAAGGCGTCTGGGTCGAAGCACACAAAGACATTGCCCTTGCGGCAACAAAGAAAAAGGTAGGTAGGTTGGCAGGTAGGTGTGCATGTGTGCGAGATTGTGCGCGCGCACGCATGCACGGTTCAGCTAGGCAGTTGCAACAGGCCTTGGAACCTTTGCCAAAGACACTCGCCAGGTCGTCCATCGTCGCCTGTTGATGTAAAGAGCTGACTCAGCTGGCAAGCTTGGCACGTCGAGGCACCGAAGGATCACGGAAGACAAGTCCCCTGCCTTCCCAAACAACGGCCTGCACACCACTCCACAACAGACGCATGCTTGAATCCTGCGTCTATGGTCACAAGTCTGAAGTCCGAGGGTCAGACAAATGCTCATTCTTTAAGAACTCCTCGAGCATTTCCGTGCTTACTTGCCCGGAAGCGTCGAAGTGTTCCTGCACGATGTCAAACGTGCTACTCGCTGCTTTCTCGGACGTGCATCCAAGAGGGCTCCATCTCATTCACTCCGCGATACACGGCACCGAAAGGCCTGCAACTGCAAGGAACGGCAACGAGATGCAACGAGCAGCATGGCAGCTGAAGCATAAGAGTGGGCAGTGCACTTCTGTCTTCTGTCCGGCCTTCCTCTTCCGCCATCCGACCAGAAGAGGAATCTCATCCTCTGCACGTTGAGACTTCACACAGCCGACAGCCGGTACTGCGAAAGGCTCACTGCATGCAGTGACGGCCTGCTGGCCCAGCCATCGCTGTGCCCCTTTACTGCTGCGGAATCCATCAAGTCCTGAGTGCGTTGCAATCACAGACCCAATTTCGAGGCTCGAAGTTGGAACCAGGCAAAGTCCTGCAGCATCGGTCCACCGGTGGCTGCAAACATGGTCTCGGTCCACTTCCGACTCCGGACGGCTTTGTCAAACAAAGCCTGTGTCTCCTCAGCTGACACTCAGACGGGTGGGAATAGGACTGACAATGATTGCGAAGACGACCGAAGCCATGAAAGAAAACGAAGGAGGACCATGACTAGGCCATAGAAACGGCCGCAACCTCGGAGACCAAGAACGACCACCAGCACGACCACCACTACCACGAGCAACACCAGCAGCAATAGCAACAATGCCAGCAGCAATAGCAATAATCATAATTGCAACCACACAACAACGACAATGGCGAGGAGAAGCGCCAGCTCACAAATAAACAATAGCCCAAACGGCACCACTAATCGCTTCCCCCAAATATCCGCCGAGGCCAAATGTTTGGTGACACCCTGTTTTTGCGCTCGTTTGCCACCCCCTTGCCCGGCCTCCCCTCATTTTCTTTGATTTGCGGGCCTACCCGCCCCCTCCCAGGCCTCCTCCCCCCTCTTTTTTTCCTCCACCCCCCCCTCCCCCCCTCCCCCCTCCCCCCCCCCCCCCCCCCCCCCCCCCCCCCCCCCCCCCCCCTCCCCCTGTGCCGATACACCCCCAAGGGATACTCCTTGTGAGGAGGTGTATGACCAGTTATTCCCTAAGGATCAAAGGGCAGCGCCCTGCACACGGACAGTAGTTGTTTTGTCTTGCTACGCAAGGAGAGCTTGTCTTGTCTCAATATGGTAAAACCACTGTGAGCCAATGGGCAGCGGAATGTATATGTATGAGCATGCAGCCATTGCTGTAGGTACCTGTTAGAGCTACCCCTTTAGAGGTTTATGGTTTCAAACAGACACTAATTTTCTTTTACCGGAAGCATGGCCGCACATTCACACATATACTGTTATGCCCACTGTCACAGTTGCGGAGTTTGGACTCATGATAAAAACAGCATATTGTTTATGCTATGTATAGCACTGAAGTACACTGTTGAGGTCACTCCTTTTGCACACACTCATGCATGTTGGTCAGAGAGATCATCTGTACAGGATCAGGTCTGGTAATGTTCTTCTACCGAATTATGCAGCCCTTCATTGTGCTCTTGTTAGAGCCCTGTGATTCACTGTTGTGAAACTCTGAGAATTTTCTTATCTCAGATTCGGATCCAGGTTTGGATCATAGGCTCGAGCATAGACGTTCGGATGTGGCTCATCCGGGTCTGAGTGATCTTCTTCGGAACTTGAAAAGATTCCGAGTAATCTGTTCTCAGCCCTGGTGAAGGCGGCGTCTGCAGTATCATATCCATGGTTGGATGTTGTCGCCTTTGGCTCGGCCTTTGGAGCAGCTTGTGAGCTGACTGGAGTTGCCTTGGCTTTTGCCGGTTGCGGCTGCTTAGCCTTTGCCCGTTCAGCCCTTCTTCTTTCAAGCTGTCCGTCTGAGGACGCCCATGATCTTTCACTTTCATCTCCTGAAGGAGATAAGGCGTGGGCATAAAGGCTATTCCAGTATTGTGCTGCAGAAGGAGTTAGGACTTCTTCATTGTCAGATTCTGACTGGTCTTCCTCAGAGCTTTGGTCGTCAAAAAGTGTCTCGAGGACATTTTTGAGATTGTTATTTCTTCGCTCTATCTCTAGTGAGGAATGGACCAATTGGTTAAAGACTGTCCTTGAGTCCTTCAGTGCTGTTAGAAGGATTTCCACTCTGGATAGAGTATCTTGGATGGTGTCAAGATGTTCCTTCCTTTCCTCCTTGTCTCTCTGGATAGAGCTTCGCAATGATTGTGCGATTCTGAGGAGGTCTGTGTATTTCGCAAGAGGCATAGTTACCGTTTGATTGTCATGTATGACAGTTGTTTCGTCGCCGCTTAAGTTCCTGAATAGGACTTCCACGACTGGTAGGAACTCCGTGCTCCACGGTTCCTCTTCATCATATGTTTCTACGTGCTGTAGCACGCGTTGTGTAAACTGGCCGGCTGCTTCTACCGTTGCATCGATAGAGCTGACGTGTCTTGCTGCCATGTTTCGGCACGTAACGTTAATTGCCTGGCCTTGATTGGCTTCGTTAAGTGCAGCGTCTGCATAGGTGCAGAGTCCACTGTTGTGGGCTTCTCTAGCTGCCTTTCGTTGAATGCGCCGATTTTGACCTCCTCTTCTGGTAGGACCTTTTGGTCTTGGAGGATCAGAAGGTACTGTTCCTTTCGCCTTTGGCGGAGGACTCTTAGGTGGAGGTGACATGTTTGCCTTGTTAGGCCCTGGTGGCATTGCCTTGGGCGCTGACGACGATGCAGCACTTGAAAGTGCAGATGTACCCTTGGCTTTTGCCGAAGATCCCTTGGGGATCGATGTATAGGTAACCTGCATGGCTTCTTCGGCCATTTGTGCATGCAAGGCATCTTTGAATAATTGCGTCATATGAGGAGTGGTGCTTGCATCATCGTAGGTCTGGAAGCGCTCAATGTCTCTTTCGGTGCCACGTGGACGTGTATCACCTCTTTGAAAAGGATCGTTCCTGCGAATCTCCGCAACTTGTACTGCATGGAGGCAGTTTTTGCACAGCACCTTCCTGCAAACATCTCTTGCTTGCTTGAGCTGGTAACAGCTGTCTGAGAGATGGTAGACTTCGCTTCGGGAAGTATGCCAGATAGGTCGCAGATCAGTTGTTTCTCCGGAATTGACCCTGTTGGGTCCTAAAGGTTCACGCGTCTGCGGTTCATCCTCGGGTTCGAGGAATGGAACTCTTTGGTTCGCTGCTGCTTTTGATTTTGGTTGTTGGCGCTCCATACATCTGATAGGAGGCCTGGTAATCTGCTTCCACATCCAGTGTAAGCCCATTAGCAGCAGGAACACATTCCACGCGATGCTGAAGACGGAGAAGTCCTGCTCACTGGTTAGTGAGTTTGGAAGTGAAGTTTCATCAGTCTTGATAGACTCTGCGTTCGCTCCACCTCGGTTGCGGTGTCCGAACCAGCCCGACAACCCCGCTGCTGTAGCAGCTGTTCTGAGTGCCTTGCCGCTCGGAGCAGACGGTGGACGCGATGCCTTCCTTCTTCTCCTCCGGCTGGAGGATTCGTCCTCTTGTTCCTCTTCATCTCTCTGAGCAGACATCAAGTTTGATGTTTCTCTTTCGTGTTCTTCGATGTCACTTTTTGTTGGTGACGGTTCTTCTTCTAGTCCATCCAGCTCTTCCAAAGACATGTTGAGCTTGTCAACAATATTGGTTCTTTGAGGCCTGGACCTTGATCTTGGTAGATCTTGTTGTGAAGAGGACGATGATTCCTGGTTCCTTCTTGGAGGAGGACCTTCAGGCTCGCTGGGACGTTCAGGCTGTGGCCACTCCCAGAATCTTCCGTATCTGTGATGGCTACCTGATGGTTGCGATTTGTCGTACCAGCTGTTGCCGGATGAGTAAACGAATGAATCGTTGTAACCCCAGTATTCAGCATTACGCTGCTTGTAAGCCTTTCGCTTGTCAGCGATCTTTTGAACCTGGGCATCTGACCGGTTGTGTTTCCCTTTTGTAAGGATTGGTTGTATCGTGAAGCCCAAAGGGCTGTGCCAATCTTTGTCAGAGGGACTCAACCATAGGTCAAGGTTAGAAAAAGTTGAATAGTACTGCTTGACTGAGACAAACAGACGGATATCAATATCCCTGTTATTGTTCATGTCCTGCCACATATCTGAGATTCGCTCCCAGTATGTTCTTTCGGCGGCAGGTGTAACATCTCTTGGACTAGGTGACGCCGTGTGCGGCGTTTTACTCCAGTCAAGGATATAACTGTTGATACAGTCAAGGTCAGCAACTTTCTTCGCCGGGTCCGCCGGTAGACGATCTGCACGTGCCAGTCTGTGCTGGTCGGAGTTGTTCAAGCAAAGATGTCGCACTTGTGAGTGCCTTCCTGCTATTTTGTTGAATGCTGCAAGTTTCTTCTCCAGGTATAGAGAAAACAAACTGTTTCGCGGGTGAACGTCTCCACCTTTTAAGGTGAGCCTCGACGCAATATTATTGAGATCTCCCGCTATTACATCCGGTTTAAAAGGGAGAATCTCGTTGAGGAACGCGTTCACCAGTTCGCGTCTCTGTTCTTCCTTATGAGTCATGAATGAGTTGAAATGGACGATCGCGATGGTGATGACCTTGTAAGGCCCTTTTGTACACCACATCTCGTCAAGATCGTTTGATGCTTCTTGTGAGAAGATCTCTGCGTATGACTCAAAGTCTTCCTCTGGTGGCTCATCACCCTCGACATGGCCGTTCCATTCACAGAGAATCGGCGAGGGGTCGAGGTTCGACAGTGTCAGGCACGCCTCTGGTGAGAGGTAAGAGCCATCAGTGGGTCCATCCTTGTCAGGATTTTTGCCCTTGAGTGGGTCATATCCGATAATCTGCATGAACTCGTCTCTCGTCATCCTTTGGCCAGAATATGGGTGGACCCATTCTTTTGCCTCTGGTATGGTACTGTGGTACCCAAAGGTGAGGCGGCATACCGCACCGTGGCATGCCCACAGTCGCTTCTTGGGACCACCATTCTTAGGCTTCATTGTTCGATGACGGTAAAAGTGGTGGACGAGAGCGATGTCTGTTGTTGGGTCACCCTTGACTCCAATATACATCGAGGGTGCCTCAGGCTCCTTGGGAGGAGAATGGATTAGCATCCCCCTGTATTCATGTTGTCGCATGGTTGCGATCGAATACTCTGACGCAAGTGCTCCTGCCTCGAGTACGAGGGTAATATGAGCTGAATTGTTGAAGCACATGTCAATAAGAGGGTGATAATCGAATCCCTTCTCAGGTTTGAGCTTCTTTTTGGGATTCCCTGCGGGCACCGGCGCTCGATCCATATTTCCCCAGTTGAATACCACTAGGTTAGCGATACGCTGTCTGGGTTTGAGCCTTCAATGTATTCTCTCTTCTCGTTAACACCGGCCATCCTATTGCGAACTATCTCGTAATGTGCGTCGAGCACCAGTTTGTCTTCGTAGCCAGTAAGAGAGAGAAAAGAAGCCGGGTGGCTTGTTCTAGAGTCCTTGATATT